AGATTCTTTTCCCAAAAGTATTTGACAAAAGACAGGAATAATGTATTATTGACTGTTAATTTAAATATAATATTATTTTGGACACTTAAGATAGTGTTTCTAAGTAAATACTATTGAGTTAGATTAATTTTACTAATGGTATATACTCAGATCTCCTATAGGTTAGATTTAATGTAAAGATTTGTTAAAAGTCATCTGAACTTTTTCTTTTGTGAGAATGTTTTGCTCTAGCAGCGCTCTATTAAGAGTCTAAAATCTAAAATCTTTGTCGAATAGTGAAAATATATTCACTATTTACCAGTGGGCTAAGACTTGAAATATTTCTTTCCCAATAATGTTGCATCAAAGCGTACTTTTTAAGTTAGTAGTGTTAAAAGTAAAATTTAAAAAAATGTAAAAACATGACTCTCATTCAAATACAGAATAAGCACTTATCAGAGATGTATTGGGATATATGAAAGATTGGTTGAGTGTTAAGGTAGAATTTTTTGTTTCAATATGTGCAATTTTCTATCCAAAAATTTTTCTGGACCTTGACCCTGGATATGGAGTATTTTCATCATATAGGCCAACTCAGCTATTAGGTCTCAGTTTAAATATTACTTCTTTAAAGAAACTTTCCTACTCTTTCCAAATGAGAACAGATCCTGTGTTACAGGTGACCATAATATTCTTTATTTTTTCATAATTAATTATATTTTAGATTAATTATTTATGTAATTTATCTGCTTGATTATTAGCCTCTCTGTTGAATTTACCATTTCAAGAGAAAGAATAATGTTTATTTTGTTATTTCACATATAGGAGATGACCAATATTTATTCATAAATAATCAGTATTTCAGAAGTCCACAGAGTAAACTTTGTCATCTAATCAAAAATGAGCTTTCACAAAACTTCAAAGTATCTGATGATATGAAAGGAGTAACCAGGCCTATGAAGTGCTGATGAATAATCACAATCTGAGATTTATTGGTGACCACTCTTGTGTTAGTATAAGGTTGGCTGCCCAGATAAAACAAGGCATTGGCTAGAAGGAGGACTCTTGAGCCACTCAATCTTTTGAAATTTCTAAGGAGTTTTCCAAGGGGAAAAATCAGCTTTTACATACTATATAGGAGAATCTTTGCATAGATCAAATGGATTCAGCTGGCTTCAGCTGACAATGTCTGATTTAAAAAAAAAAAGAGATGTATTGGATTCATTAACGAAGGCCTCAGGAGGACGGTAAAGCTGGTCCAGAGAAAGCTCAAGAGGCCAAGTGCACACACGAATCCCAGAAAGAGTGCTGGGTCGCTGTTCCCAGGGCGGGCACACGAATGGTTAATGTCCATGATGGCAGTAAAAACCATAACCTTTGGGGCTTTATTTCCTGTCAGACAGAAGTCATTTGAATCTCTACTGGGAAAAAATATCTACAAATAAACATGTTACTTAACAGACGGTGGCACTAATCAGCAATGAATAGTAAAGTCAGGCATTTATTAATTTTAGAATTAAATAATCTTTAGACAGGGAGCTGTTAAAAATTGCTTAGTATGACATTAAAAGATGTGGAGTTCTGCCTTTGATTTATTTTCTCTCTCAAAAGATTACTTATTTTTTTCGATAGTTTCAGGTTTGTAGATCCTCAACTTTATGTGTCATAACCTAGTGTTTTATGATTATTGTTTGAAATTGTGTCTTTTACATATCAGATATATTTTATAAATAGCTTTTAATAGCAGTGACTTATATCAGAGCCATTCTATCAAAAGTCATACTGTTAGGAATCAGCTGAATACTTTTTCTTTTATGATAATCCTTGTGTATGTGTGTATGGAAATATATATATTCCAGAAGGTATCCAGCCATGTAATATTCTATACAGGACAATGACCCCACAGTTCCCTTCAAAGTAGGCAACTTGGGACCTCACACAGCCTTCCCAATCGCCATCAGCTATCCCACTCTATTTTCCTGAATTTTATCGATGTTCTGAAATCTCTTTCCTTTCAAAGGTGATTTTAATTTTGGGAAAAGCCAGAAATTATAGGGTGCCAAATTTGGGCTGTAGGAGGTCCAAGTCACCTGGGTGATTTGATATTTAGCCAAAAAACTCTGCCAGAGGCGTGATGCATGAGTGGGCACGTTGTCCTGATGAAGTTGCTCATCACCAGTTGCGTATAGCTGCAGATTTCTGCATCATCTAAATAGTTTCCAGGGAGGAACATTCAAGCTCATCACAAAATTTGATGCAGATTTGTTACTCTACTTGCTCAGACATTTTGAATGTGACGGCCACACAGTGCCCATGCTCACTCAACGGGGTCTACCACCCCCACTGACTAGTACAGTGAAGTCGTCACTGTTTGCGCATGCACATTCCAGTCCACTCTCCTTGGCTGCCGGGTTACGTTGATGTTGCGCAAACTGTTCTCGTTATGTTAACAATGGCTGCACTTCTCCCAGACAAACCTCATATATATTGCGTGTGTGTAATTCTGCACTGACAAGGTGCTCACATGCTGAATTATGTTTACTTTTTTCCCCATGAAAGGTGTTGTTCACATGCATGTGTGTCTGATGTGATTGTAACCAGTTTGTCGATTCATTCCCCTACTTCACTGCTCTCTGGCTTTCACGCCCCTTTTTCCAAGGCCAGCCCCCTTGTTCTGCTTCCTTCTTCAGAGAAATAAATTGCTGACTGTCCCTATAGTTTCCCAGCAATCCTCAGAGCCTCCTTTCGCAGCAGTGAGGAGAGAATGTCTTGGGAGTGACATTCCCTCTTAGAATGAAATGTCCTAAGAATAATTCTCATCTATGAGGATATGAATTGGTCCTAAGGACCATGGAGAGCAGAAGATTATTGATTATGATCTGCTTTAGTGCCAGATTTCTAGATCTGAGAACCGAGTTTCCCCAACTACCGTAACTAAAGTGATCCCAGTCTTCTTTCAGCCTTGATCAAACTGCCTGTTTTATCTATAATCCTTTATGAACTCATTTGTTTATTTGGTAATTATTGTCCATCTTCACTGAATCTAAGCACCGTGAGTGATGGGCTGTGTTTTGTGTCGATCACTCTTTTTATCTGAGCATCCATCACAGTGCCTCATATGTGATGAACTGAATCAATATTTGTTGAATGAATGCATCAAATCAATGAGTATTATACCTGTAAAGAAAGAAAAAAACAAAAGAAAGAAAAGAAAAAAAGAAAGAAGAAAACAGGTAAGAGACAAAACAGCAAGTGGCTTCAGTTAAGACATGAAACAATAAACTATTGCTTTAGGCCTCACTTGTCTGATGTGGTTTTTACTATTGCACTTTACCGACAGGAATACTCCAGGCACAGCAGCTTTAGGTGCCTCGAAAGATTAGTATGACCATTTCAGTGTAATCGTGACAACAGTGAGGAAGGTAAAAAAAAAAAAGAGAGAAATAATAGGCTAAACTAATACAGATGAAGCCTTTCCTGGAAAAAAATTCTCTTGGTAGCTAATTCCAAAAATAGACTTTATCTAAAATAAAATCATTATTAAGATGGTTGCCTTTAAGCAACACATTGACTCGGAGATAACTGCAGTGCTCCCAATGCGTCTGCATTTAAAGTCTGTCTTCCTGGGATTTTTCTTAATTTATTGTAATCTAATAATCATAGAACACATTATTTGTATTTGACATAGAGTTATGTTTTTACCATGCACATTTATTCAACTATATAACAAGGAATAATTGTTTGGTTAACATTTTTCTTTCTACAGAATGCAATGTTTATTCATGTGCACTTGGTGAATTCTTTATAAGCACATTAGCAAGATGTGGGGCAAAAAATCAAACCTCTGAAAGTTCAAAAGATAGCTGTATAAAGTAGTTGAAAAAATTTGGGGGATGGTGAATACAAGTGATTCACATTAAATATTATGGAGAATGTGAATGAAATGTATATTTGGGTATATAACTAATTATAGTAATTTTTTCAAATGAAATAAGACAAGTAAACTGTAATGTCATTTCTTTGACTGGGAGAAGTCAGCTAGCCATTTGAAAAATAGCTTCATCTTTTATTGGGTTTTCTTACCCTCTTCATTTATTACATAAATGAGTTCTCAAGGGTAATTGCCTTAAAAAAATCTTTGACTTGTGAAATGTAGAAAACACTGCTAGGCTTTTGGAGTGTTATCAGTTCTTTGCGTTTCTCGTTCAGGGTGCAGCTGATTTTGACAGATGAACTGTTATGCTGCTGCTATAACATGACATCTTTTTTCAGATGAGCTGAACAAAAGTGATCTTGACAATGAGTAGATAAGACACTGTCAGAAAGCTGAAAAAACATGTCAATGTCACAGTTATGACACAAATGCAACAGAACAGCCCTTATGATATTATTAAGGGAATGTCTTTTTAACGATGCCCTTGAGGGGACAGACAATAGCATTGCTCTTAAATGCTATTACTTAACCACAAAAAATAATAAAACAAAACACAGAGGTCAGTTTAATATTTATTTGAAGTGGCATTTGATGAGTCTGGTGTGTGTGTATGTATTTGTAGGTGGAACTCCTTTATTTATGGCATATAGGAAAGAATTTTGAGGTATCAGAACTGCCTTTTCAGGAGCTAGAAAAATCATTTAACTTCAGCATTTGAAGAACACCATTAAAATATTGATTGTGGAGTATGCAAAGTGGTTTTATGGATATTGATTATTATCCTTTTTCTGATTTTCTTTTTTTATGGAATGGGAAAGAATAGACTTTAATAATATAAGGGAAAATTAGAAGTACATTTTAAAATGAGTTTTGTTCAATGATTAGTAAATACTAAAACAGAATTAATACCAGGTATCAAGAGGGAATGAGACATGCGGTGGTTTTATTTTCCTTTATTCTGACTGGCTTGGAGCTGAAGTGTACATGTATGTGTGTATGTATAAGGCTTTCTCTATACATAGAGATTTAAAATGCTTAATGGAAGGCATATTTATCCTAGAACAACTTTTTCTGTTTTTGTCTCTAGGGTCCGAGGTAGTCGATCTTGATGGAAGAAGTTCTCTCCTCTACAGATTTGACCAAAAATCCCGGAGCCCAATAAAGGACATCATTTCTTTGAAATTTAAGACCTTGCAGAGCGATGGGGTTCTCCTCCACAGGGAAGGGCAAAGCGGGGGTCACCTCACACTGGAACTAAAAAGAGGGAAACTGTTTTTGCTTATTAATTCAGGTAAAACTATTTGGGGAAAAGCTTGAAGATCTGGTCACGTAGATAGCACTTCAGTAACTTTATGTGTTCGTACCTTGTAAAAATGACGGTGCTTTATTTCTAGACTCGGGGCGTATATATAAGTATAGTACACATACCAGTGTTGTACTTTAATTTAGAATGGTTTATATTTTGCAAATTGTATAAGACCCTCATTCAGTGATTTTTTTTTAACATAGTGTCATCAGCCTACATAGCTATTTCCTAACATTATGAAGAAAGAGACGGGTCATTGAAAAATATTAAGGTGGTAAAAACACTGAGGTTGTAGCAAAGTAAGATTTTTATTGAAAAGGAGCATGTGATGGGTCACATTAAAAGACATTAACAGTAGAAGACATTGCTGTAAGGTTGAGAGGATATTACATTCAAACTTCAGGTAAATCTATACTAGTGTTTTGGATAGAGTGCCTGGAAGGAGATTGTGATGACTATGAAAGACACTGCCTCACAAAAGGGAAACTTTTTTTTGTTAGACTGGGAATAGCGGCGCCTCTTTGTGTTCTCTCTTCGAAGGTGATGCCACACTGCCCTCTCCTCACGCCCGGGTCAGTCTCACCCTGGGCAGTCTGCTGGATGACCAGCACTGGCACTCCGTGCTCATCCAGCTCTCGGGCCGGCAAGTCAACTTCACGGTGGATGAGCATAGGCATCGCTTCCATGCCCAGGGAGAGTTCAGCGACCTGGAGCTTGATTATGAGGTGTGATGGCTATGTTTCCATCGATAGGGTCTTTGGGATACGTATGTGGGGTCGCCCAGCAAGAGAAAACAGGCTGTTGAGGATCCCACTTGCAGAGCGAATCAGAGTCCTAGTGAGTTGTGTCCCCTGCGTGACGTGGCTCGCATAGCAGATTTGGGCCTATTCTACTGAGGCTTCATCTTTCTCACAGTATGTTAATTTATCATTATAGAGAGCGATCATCCTTTTTACCTGAAATGCGTAAATGCAGAGGGTTACGTGTAAAATCTCCAAAAAGAGGTCCGATCACCACAAGCAAATGCAGACTGTTGGATGGTGTTTCTGTGTTATAGGGCGCACCACACAGCGTAGGTTTATTGGCAGGAGAGAGCAGCGAGTAGATTCATTAATTCGTTAACAATCAGTGCAAATGCATAAATATCACTGCGAGTTAGAGATGTATAATATAAAATGTGATTATAATGTTACATTATTAAACAGATCAAGGTTTACTATGAATAGAAAAATGTTCATATTCATCAACCAATAAATATAAAATCTCAGTGTGATTAGCAACTTGTAAGACTTATTAAATTCTAATGCAAATGAAAACTAAATGCATTTAAATTTGTATACATTTGTTTTAAACTCTATCTTAATTTTTTTAAATGTCTCCATTTGAAATTAACAATATGGCAGTGTGGGTGATGAAAGTTGATCTATGTGATGACTACAGCTATAGTTGCTAATCATAATTATTTAAGCAGATTGTCTGGAAATCACTAAACAATATTATTGATGCTATTTTTCTTTCTAAGATCAGCTTTGGAGGGATTTCAGCACCTGGGAAATCAGTGTCATTCCCACATAAGAATTTTAATGGGTGTTTAGAAAATCTCTATTATAATGGAATGGATATCATTGATTTGGCCAAGCGACAAAAACCACAGATCATCGTTATGGTAAGAGAGTCTTCATTTGAAGGAAGACTTTTCTTCTGCTCTTTAATCTCCTTAGTAAGATATTCCCTGACAAACTCTCCAAACAAGCATACTGCGTTCTTGGAATCAGATTAACATCCCTGTTAACTTGTATTTTGCCATGGTCATTCATAACAAATTAAAGAAACTAATAGGCTGTTACAACATTGCAGACAGACCTGCCAATCTGTCCCAATAGCAGTGTTGGTCAGGCTGCATCGTATTCCAATTCTGTGTAAATGCAGCACAATTTGAAGGTAACTGTGTTTATTGGTCAGGGTTCCGTTGGGAGAGCAGCACCGCTACCCTATGAACATTATGAACAAGGGATCAGTTTCAGGACTTGGAGCTTAACCATCAGAGGAGCTGGAAGGTGGAGGCCCGCGGTCGGCAAGGGGGGCTGTGAAGGATGAGCTGGACCCAGCCTCCGAGGTCGTCCTTCCCTGTGCTCGATCACACACACAAGAGTGGCAGACAAGGGTCAACATTTCACTTCTACTCAGATACCGTGCCAGCTCCTCTTATGGCTAACTTTTAACCAGACCTGGCAAAGGGGACTCTGATAGTGTGGTTTCCAACTTAACCAGCTTGGTGATCAAAAAAGTGCACACACATATTCATTTGAATATGTTTCTTTAATTGTTTAAAATTCAATGATGTAAATGTAAGCTCATGTTGAATATGCAAATCCTGAAACACCTCATAGGAATATTTATTGTTTACAAAATATTTCATTCCTAATTCACTATGTGGATTAATAGTATTTATATAACACCCAGCAAAACTTTAAAATCGTTTTTATAATCGGGACAGTGATTTACAAGGAAAATAAAATATTATAGGTAGGTAGATGTGTGTGTGTGTGATTGGCAAAGTGAGTTTCTAGGAATTGCTCATACAACTAACACCCACTTTTCATTGGTAAGAGGATTTGCTCTCTGTATTTGGAAAATTTATTACAGCTTATTTCCAGGAAAAATAAAAACATTTGTCTTCATTTCTGAAGCATATGAAGGAATATGCTTTATGCTTTCTAGATAAAGTTTTTTTTAATCTTTAAATATATTTTTTACTCTAATAGCAAAATAATTTTTGTAGACAGTATTTTAAAAAATTAATACAATTTAATATATCCTAAGGATCTATTTTAAAACCATTAAATGAAAAATAGCCCTGGCTGGTGTAGCTCAGTGGATTGAGCACGGGCCTGTGAAGCAAAGGGTGTCTGGTTCGATTCCCAGTCAGGGCACATGCCTGGGTTGCGGGCCAGGTCCCCAGTTGGGGACACATGAGAGGCAGCCACACATTGATGTTTCTCCCATTCTTTCTTCTTCCCTTCCCCTCCCCTCTCTCTAAAAAATAAATAAATAAATAATTTAAAATCCCTTCTTTAAAAAAAAGAAAAAGAAAAATAATACATGTAAAACTGGTGACAAAGGCATAACGATAGGAAAAAAACAAAAATAGTTAAAAAGGGAATATCAGTAGTAAGTACATCATACATCATAGTGCCCAATATAAAATCTATGGAAAGAAGGAAAAATTAAAAAAGGCAGAGGATCTGTAGACCATTCAGAGGACGGCAGGTCCAAACGATCAACAGGTTCATGAAAAATGCTCAGATTTCACTATTAGGTAAATGAAAGATAAACAAGAATGATCTTTTACTTTGACATTTTTGTCACTGAATTTGTATGAATTTAGAAGGTCTATAATACCTAATTCTGCCAAGAATGCAGGGAAAAGGTTATCCTCACTTATTACTGGTGGAAGTGTGGAGTATTTTAACTTTTTTCTTTTTTTTTCTGTTTTTACTTTTTGAAAAAGAAGCTGGAAATACTTGCTAAAACATTTCAAACGTGTAGATACCTATAGTTCTGTATTTAGAACCTTCTTCACAGTCACTCGTGATAGCATTGTTGGGAGAAGAGAAACCTGGCGACAGAGTTCACATTAACAGGAAAACAGTCGAGTAAAACTCGGAACATTTGTATAATAAAATTCTATGCAATCAGTAAAAAGAAGGAATTAGCCTTATGGCAGATAACTCAAAATGATTTCCACAAGCTATACTTTAGTGGCAAAATCGTGAAACAGTAAATGGCTCCTATTTTTGTAAATCAAATAATGTCCAATGTTAGGTGTATATATTCATCAACGTGCATTTAAGTGTGTGTATGTACACGTAATCGAACATGTAACTGAAGCTATTTACATATGATTCGATGGGAACCGAGAAAACATGATAAAATAGGGAGGGGGAAACGGTAGCTCATTAATACTGGTTATCTTATGGGGTAGACTAGAAGCCACAGGCAGTAAAGAGGTAAAGAGAGAGAAAAGGGGAAGCCAAGTAAAAGACGAAAACAAGGAGTTGGCCTACATACATTTTTGTTGAGTTCAGTGACATGGAGCTAGATGGCTTTGGGGAGGCTGAGAGGTGGGGAGAGAAAGATGTGTCTGATCATAATCACTGCACCTGAAGAACCTTTAAGACGTGGGAAGAATTTGACTTTTTATGTTGATAGCAATTCATTGTTTTAAATTGAGGCTCATTTGAGATCGATAAAGAGCCTTTGTGGATATTTCAGTTTCTGTTACTGATGTGATGTGACTCATTCTGAAAGCTTTTTCTTTGCCTTTATTCTCAGGGAAATGCGTCATTTTCTTGTTCACAACCACAGTCTGTGCCTGTGACGTTCCTCAGCCCCAGGAGCTACTTAGCAGTGCCGGGCCCTTCCGGAGAGGAAGAGGTTGCTGCTGCCTTCCAGTTTCGAACCTGGAATAATGCAGGGCTTCTGCTCTTTGGGGAACTCCCACTGCTTTCAGGGGGTCTCCTTCTCTTCCTTCATGATGGAAAACTAAAGCTGAATGTCTACCAGCCAGGAACGTTATCCAGTGACATCACAGCAGGTAATCAGTGCATTCCCATGGGCAGGGCGTGTGCTTCCGAAGGATTCTTTCTCCGTCCCTTGTCCGTGAAATTTTATGCATAACCAAAAATTAATATTTGTTTAGTAAATGAATACTTGAGCTAATAAGATTATCAGTACTCTTCCTTAGAGGAACTTGATTCTAATTTCCGTTGAAATATGGCTCCACACCAGCAGTTCTTATTAATCCAAATGGTACTTATGGGGGAGTAGAAACTTCCTTCTATGACCCTCTTGCCCACTCCAGATAAATCAACATATGCTTAGGAAATGTGTTCGGGTAAAGAAGTGAAAGACTGTGAAATGGACCCCGAAGTTTACTGGATGTCTTCAGTGGAAAACTCGGCTTTGTCTAACACAGCTGTTAGTCTTCCCTGGTTGGCGAGAGAAAGGGGGGTCTTTCTTGGATCTATATGTATATCTCTACATTAGTGGTGAAAAAGCTAAATACTAAGTCAAAGTAACTTTACTTGCTGATATATTCTGTACAGAGAGGATGGAAAGAGTCATGCAAAGGTCCTCACTTGGACACCAAAAGGAATTCTCTCTACTTCTAGGCAATACGGTATCATTTTAATGATTTGAAGTAATATAATTAAGGAAACTATATGAGCGTCTGGAAAATTAATGTCTAATTTAGGTCAGTGCTTTGGGTAAAGGATATTTTTGTCTCTTCATTAAAATTATATAGATTATGACAAGGCATCTCCATCACATTTTCATATATATGGAATAACATTTCAGCCAAGCAACTGGAGGTCACATTGGGGTATATTGCTACATCATGTTAATAAATGATCTTTAAAGAAAATTTAAAGATGCCATTGTACTACTTCTTTGTATTAACTGTGTCCAAAATTAATAGCTTATGACTGGGAGAGGACAAAACATTTGAATATAACCAGAAACTAAATATAAGGAAGATAAGTATACAAATTGATACACAAATGTGTAATCTTTATATATCTTTTTTGTTGGTAATCTGTTACTGCAATTTAAATGTGGGAGCTAAAAGTTCAGTATTAATTATAATTCTTGAGAGGTACTACACTGTGACTTTTTAATGTAATACTCAAAATGTGGTAGGTTTGCAGGCTTGACAAAGGAAATAAATCAGTGTTTTATTAATAATTAGTTAGCTCCCTAAATTGAGGGCCTAAGAATGTAAGCCTGCTGTTAATATGTAGTTTATTGTGATTTATTTGACATCTTCAGAAGTGGTTCTATTCATAGCCTAATTTTCAACATTTTGAAGAAACTGCTTTTGAGCAATGTTAGTGTAGTGAGCCCCATGAAGCTAGTTCATTCCTAAACACTTTGCAGGCATGTATATTTAATAAATCAGTAGGTGTAAGTCTATAGAGAATACCATGAATGATTTGAAAATCCCCAAATTAACGTTTAGACCCGTGTACAATATAATCTATTATTATATCATACGACTTGGTAAGATCGTTTCCTAGCTAACAGTGAGCCTAGACAAAATATGATTGTCAATATAAAAAATCGTTACACTTCAGATAACACAAGTAGGCTTTGGCCTACCATCTCTCCTACCCAGTTTTCCAGTTTCTTTTAAAGTATTAATTTTTATAAATTATAAAAATATAAAGATTTGCTAGTTTAAGTGTGTTTGAAAGCGGACTATTTAAATGGTAGTTGGATGAGTGGTCAGTTTGTTCTGTCATTGGGAAAGACTTCCCACCTATGTTTCACATGTACAGTTTTCAGTAATTAAATTAGTTGTCAGGATATATTATAATGAGTCTTTAAAAAGAACCAATTACTTACCAGTAGATTAGAATCACATTACACTAATCTTTCCATTATAAAAGGATGGCTTGATTTTTCTCAGCTACTGGAGACATAAATTACTAATTTTTTATGTCTTAAAAACCCAAAAGTTTTATCTTTGACATTAGAATAAAAATGAAATTGTGTTTAGGAAGAACTGAATTCTGTGTGTTTGAATCTTCAGGCTACATTTTTAATTGATGCACAGTTTTTCAAATTGTCATTTGGAATTCTTTGAAAATATCATATCAACCTATACCACTTTTGAAATATAAAAGCTATTAGTCCAAACCATAAAGCATATTAGCAGTACTATAAAATCCCTCATGACACAAAATATTTTCAATCTTTGTCACTCTTATAGATATCATCGATTTCTGAATATTGACCTTGTATCTTGTTCCTTTGCTGAATTCATTCATTAGGTCAAGTAGTTTTTTGGTGGAGCCTATAGTGTGTTCTGTGTATAATATCATCTCATCTGCAAATAATGACAGTTTTACTTCCTCCTTTCCAATTTGGATGCCTATTATTTTTTTGTGTGTGATCGCTGTGGCTAGGACTTCCAGTACTCTGTTGAACAACCTTGGTGAAAGTGGGCACCCTTGTCTTGTTCCTGGTCTTAGGGGAAAGCTTCTAGTTTTTGCCCGTTGAGTATGATGTTGGCAGTAGTTTTTTCCTACATGGCCTTCATGATGTTGAAGTATGAACCCTCTATTATCACTTTGCTGGGTGTTTTTTTAAAAAATCATAAATGGGTGCTGGATTTTATCAAATGCTTTTTCTGTGTCTATTCATATGGTCATATGACTTTTGTCTTTCATTTTGTTTATGTGATATATCACATTTATTGATTTGTGAATATTGTACCAATCCTGTATCCCTGGAATAAATCCCACTTGATTACGGTGTATGGTTTTTTTAATGTATTACTGGATGTGGTTTGCTGATATTGTGTTGAGGATTTTAGCATCTGTGTTCATCAGAGATAATAGTCTGCAACTTTCTTCCTTCTTGTGTCTTTATTTAGTTTTGGAATTAGCATAATAGTGGCCTTGTAAAAAGAGCTTGGAAGTCTTCCTTCTTCTTGAATTTTTTGGACTAGTTTGAGAAGGATAGGTGTTCGTTTTTCTTTGAATGATTGGTAAAATTCACCTGTGAAGCCATCTGGTCCCGGACTTTTGTCTGCTGGGAGTTTTTGATTATTGCTTCAATTTCACTGGTTGTTATCGGTCTATTCAGGTTTTTTGCTTCTTCCTGATTCAGTTTTGGAAGATTGTATGTTTATAGAAGTTTATCCACTTTGCCTAGGTTGTCTAATTTCTTGGCATATGCCATAGCTGTTCATGGTAATTTCTTACAGTCCTTTGCATTTCTGTGGTATCAGTTGTTACTTCTCCTCTTTTGTTTCTGATTTTTATTTATTTGGGTCCTCTCTCTTTTTTTCTTGATGAGTCTGGTTAAATGTTCATCAATTTTATTTACCATTTCAAAGAACCAGCTCCTGGATTCATTTATCTTTTGAATTGTTTTTTTTTTTTTCTCTATGTCATTTATTTCTCCTCTGATCTTGATTATTTTCTGCCTTATATTCACTCTGGGCTTTGTTTATTAGTTTTCTGGTTCTTTTATGTGTAGGGTTAGGTTGTTCATTTGAGATTTTTCTGTCTTCTTTAGGTAGGCCTGTAACACTCTGAACTTCCCTCTCAGGACTGCCTTCACTGGGTCCCGTAGGTTTTGGGTTGTTGTGTGTTTTCATTTGTTTCCAGGTACTTTTTGATTTTTTCTCTTGATCTTATTGTTAACCCATTCATTTTTGATAACATGTTATTTAGCCTCCATGTATTTTAATGTTTTTGAGTTTTTTCTTTAGTGATTGCTAATTTTAAGCCACTGTGGTCCAAGAAAATGCTTGACATGATTTCAATTTTATTGAATTTGTTGAGAGTTATGTTGTATTCTACCATATGGTCTCTCTTTGTGAATGGTCCATGTTTACTTGAGAAGAATATAGATTCTGTTGCTTTGGGATCAAACATTCTGTAAATGTCAGTTAAATCCATTTGATCTAGTGTGTCATTTAAAATAGGTGTTGCTTACTGATTTTTTTTGTCTGAAAGATCTATCCATGGGCAACAGTGGGCTATTAAAATCCCCTACAATGACTATATTGCTGTTGATCTCTTGTTTTGAATATAGGGATTTCTGGCACTGTTCCAGAGCACTGAAAGATATTTGGAAACGGGCAGAACACTTTAGTCGTTCCTTGAGTGATGGCCTCTGTATAATTGCCTTTTGCACCTTTGCAAAGAACCCACCTTACACAGCAGGCTTCTTTTCTTTATACACCATACTCCCTGGATGCCTATTGTAGTCTCATCAGAGAATGATCGTTGCTAAGCCATCCCGGTATTTTCATACCATTTTAGGAGTACGACCGGAAGATTATGTACGAAGAACAGGTATAAAGCTTTTTCTTTCTGCTGTATTTTGTGTATTCACATACATGGTTTAGGCCTGAAAAGATGAGGAAGAGAGAGAGGTGGTGGGGAGAGGACAAGGGAGATGATAGGAAGGAGGGAAGAAAGAAGAGAAGGAGGACAAGGAGGAGGAAGGGAAGGAGGAGAGGAATTAGAGAGGAGAGGAGAGGAAGGAAGAGGGAGAGGAAGCGGGGGAGGTTTCTGATAAAAAGTCCCACTCTCTGACTACCTGTAATATACACTTCCATTCAGTACCCCATTCTTTTGTTATTCCATTTGGAACTGCCAGTGCTTTCCACCCAAAGACCACAGTAATCACACCAGTAGTCAGACAAGTTGGGTTTATTGCTCATGGCAACAAGAACACACACCCTGGAAAACTGTTGGATTTTGGGTTGTATTAGCTGGTTTGGGTGAGGTTTCAAGGAAGTGGAGAATTGCTGTAGGTGAAAAGCTGCCAGGAAGTGAGGGTGATTATATGAAGTAGGTATCTTTGTGAATTTTATCTACAAGGATAGAGGAATGAAATAAGTCTAAAAAAATTAAATCAGTTACCATTCATATTATCCAGTTAAGGAAGTTTGGTATTTCTGTGGTTTTCACAGTAACCTTGCCTTTGTCTGTACTTAGATGAGGTGACAAAGCAGATTTGCGGGGGTGGGGGGGCCCCATTTTATAGTCACACAGTGACTTTGTCTGGTATTGATGTTCTGAGATTATGTTCAGTGGGAGGAACCAAGGCCTAGCTCTGGGTGCCGGCCAACTGCTCACACCGCCAAGGCCTCTCTGAGAGTGGCAGGCCAGTTCCTAGTTCTTAGCCAGTGCTTTTCTCTTTCTCAGTTAATTGTTCAATGTGAACAAAAAGGTAAAGAGAGCATTTGACCTGCAGGCAGAGGAATGTGGGTTTTGGAATCCGCTTTACCAGCTGAATGCTACCTTGGGCGATTTGTTTATCTTCCTGGAACCTTATTGTCTCCCTGGTTAAATGAGGAAATAATAGCAGTGTTGAAGAGTAAATGACACAATGCATATAAAGCTCACAGTGCCTGCTATGAATCATAGTTCAGTAAAAATAAAACTCATTATTAGTAGTGCATTATTATACCAACAACATGCCCCCTCCCACAAACTCAGAAATGATCAGTGGTAGGAGCGGTGCACTGGAATTAGCATTTAGTTACCTAACATCATGAACAAGAAAAGAACACAGATTCTGTAATTCCTCCTCCTTTCCTGCTTTTGCAAGCTCTTGAAAGGGGCTTACTTCTCATCCCACCTAAAAATGGGAAGGAGTATAGTAATATATTTTAAAAAATAGAATCTGATTTAAAATGGATCCCTTCATTATGGAGAGTTAGGTGAAATGAATGACATGAGTCCTTCATTATTTAATTTGAGTAATAAACCCACTGATGGGTAATAAACCTCCTCATCACAAGTGAATGATGTCTATTACCAGTGAGGCTTGAGAACAGCTTTCTGAAGGTTTCCCGGAAAACACAGCCCGACTTCACAACCTGCTAGCTGGGTAGACAGGCACATGTAATTGTGTCAGACAACTGAGTGGGTTGTTTTTGCAGGCTTTTGTTCTTCATTTAAATAGGGTTCCATGTGGACAAAAGAAGTTCTGCCTGTGACTTAGGCCTGCAGGGTGCCTACCTAACCCAGCAGTCACCTGGGAGCACTGCTACCTGGAGAGTGGTTCCCAGGGTGAACTGGTTCAGCACAGCACTTATTACCCAGATGGGGCTAAAAATAGAGAGGCAGCTCTTAGGAACTGCTATAGCAATATCCAAACATGTGATCAGTGGGCCTGTATTTTATAATGTCTTCTTTATTTAATTTTTTAGTTAATTCACTTTGAGTGAATTTTGTAAAAGCATCTGTCTGCAGTAGATCAGAAAAGACAATGTCCATCACCACAGGTAGTTTGAGACGCCCTGTCCTGGACCAATGGAATGCCTAAAGTGAAGTAACAGGAGTGAAGTCCTATGTGCAGGCACACCGGCGCCTTGAAGGAAGGTGGTAGCAGACAGGCGGTGGGACAGGGAGAAGGAAGCCTGCCTGCCATGCAAACCTCAGTACAGGGAGTTTCACTCTAAATGTGTTCTCACAGAGGAAGCACCGATGACTAATCTAGGGCATTTGATTTATTTTAGTCCAATCTCATACCATCAGGGACTCTATAACTCTATTCAGCCATCTATTTTAGAGTCTACTCTTAGAAGATATGTCTAAAAGTATCTAACTTGCATTCTTCATTTTTCGGCTTTCAGGTCTTTCTCATTATCTTCTACAAACCCAAACCAAGCCAGGTCTTTGAAACTCTTTTTGCTTCATGGATGTAAAGTAAAAATGAGCTTCAATGCCCAGGATGGGATTTGTGTTATATATCCTAAGTGAGTCCAGGGCAAAGAGCTTCGTCACCTAAGGGAGCTTCTGTGCATTTTCTCTCTGAAAGCTTGTATAGCTGGGGAAATAAATTGCACATAATATCAGAAGAGTGACCCCGACCTTTGGGTTTAGTAGAGTACTTACATTTTTGTTTATTAATTTGATCTGCAGAATCATACAGTGTTGACTATTTAGTGGATGTGAAGCTTGCTGGTAAACCCACAAATAGAGGTGCTGTCAACCCCACCTGCCTCTGAGCGTTCAGCCACAGAGCCCTGGGAGATGTACTTCTGTGTAAGCGGGAAAGCCTGCGCCCGCTCCCAGAGTCAGGGCACTGGGCTGCTCTAGGAGGCACCAGGGGCAATAGGAAAACCTTGATTTTTAGGTAAAGCAATTTTTGATTGTGTACATAAACTTGGAAAAGACAGAACGATATTTAAAAATGAATAACAACAACCACAGTTTAACTTCACGCAAAAATTACTGACTATTTTAGGAATATTTTCTTTCAATGCCTTCCCTTATTCATATAAAAATTAGGACTATAATTAGCATGGTATATAGAGAGTCAGTTCTTATTATTCGCAATAGTTATGTTCTATAAGGTTGATGTGAACACCAGATTGGCAAATGCTGAACCATTACTCCAAGGCCTCTGGTCACATTTTCATCAACTCATCATACATAGTCTTTTTTTTATGGGTGATTCTATTTAAAGGAACCTTATTTTTTATTTATATATAAAAATATGCATATATTTGATTCATTAACACAGAGGTCATGGCCAGCAGCAATACATTGCCTGAATGAAGCTGATCTAACATGCATACGATGTGAAGGTACAGCATGGCCTGCATAGACAGAATCCATCACTTTGCTCGAGGGCCTTCTAAACATTTAAATTACCAGCAAAAACACAAACATATGAGCAAACATGTTTACATCAGAGAGCTGAAACTTGAAGCATCGCCTTGTTTGACTTCAGCTGTGAACATGTGCACCAGTCTCTGCTCTGCTCCTCTGAATGACTCCCGTGGTGCCCCGAGTGTTGATTTTGGGGTTTCAAATACATGATAGCAAGCAGGTGAATTTGCCAAGATGGAACCTGCAAATTATGAGGATTAACTGGGGAAATATGTTTTTGCATACTGCTTTATTTTTTAACTTTTCCTTGTGCTAGTAAGCTTTTAGTATTTATTATAGTTTCTTCAAATATTTTGTAGTGGTGGACATGATATACTTTGCTCACTATTCTATAATATTATAAAAATGATTACATTCAAGTGTTCCAAAGCAGAAAAATAATTTTATCTGTGCTCTTTCCAGACCCCTCCCTTTAAAAGCTAAATTACGTGATGGCAGCTGAAAATTGGTCCATACCAAGTAACTGAAAGATTTTAACCACTTAGGACGGTCTGCACTGGGAAATTTTGTTCTTCTACTTAGGCCCTCAGAAAGGAGGACAGTAATGCACGTTTTCCCCATCGAGAGTGCTGCTTTGCCACTTGCCTCCTTTTCCTCTCTTCCTTGTTCTTTCTCCTAAATAACAGATGTGAGTGGCGTACTTGATCGAGTGCTATACGTGTTACTGTTTCTCACCAACTGTTCATTCTGTTCACTGTTGAGATGTAACTCTTGCAGCTGATTTTATCTCCCCTAGGTGTTGGATTGAATGATGGACAGTGGCATTCCGTGTCCTTATCTGCCAAAAGGAATCACCTGAGCATGGTGGTGGACGGCCAGGTGGCCTCTGCGGCTGCCCTCCTGGGGCCCGAGCAGGTTTATTCAGGGGGCACCTATTATTTTGGAGGTAAGAGAAGATGTGGCCATATGGACAATAGAACGGCATTTGCAGTTACTACCTCTGTGTCTTGGGGTTGCCACCATGTTGTGCCTGCATCCACACCATGGAATAATGTCTTACTATCTTTGAACACGGAAATGTTGGATGGAGCAGGATGACAAAGTATGACCTAAAATGTGTTTATGTGAGGTGAACTTACGTTTACAGTTTCTACAATGAGATTGATTGAAATCGGGCCAACCTCTTTAGTTTTTACTTTCAAACTTTGTTTTATTTTCCTAGTATAAAGTGGTCCTTATATGTCTTTTTTTCTGACTTAGCGGGCTGGTTTTACTACACTATTTTCCTGATTGTGCCTCTTAGCATCTCTAGAGCGTCCTTATTGCTTTCCTACTGCCCATTATGGAAGGGCAACATTATGCCGATGGACAAAATGATCCGACTTAATCAGCCACAGAAACCGCTTCCCGTTGCCGAGCAGTAATGCAGCAGTGAGTGCATTTGGTGAAACTGGGCAGCAGCCTTCAGAGCTGGGCCGTTTCTCCTGAAGAGCAACAGCAAGCTGGGCCTTTACTTGTCCAGTGGATGTTTGATTGAGCTAAAAACTTGAAAAGGAAACTTTGAAAGTGGAAATGAATCTTTAGCACTGAAAATTGAAATAAAATGTTATTTGGCTTTAGAAAGGTAAAGTTGTAAAACTGTTAGTAGTGAGATTTATTTCTAATCACAACTTGAGGTGTTTCTTATTGTTATTTCAGTTTAATTTTTAAAAATTTATTTATTTTTAGAGAGAAGGGGAGGGAGGGAGAAAAAGAAAGACAAAGATCAATTGGTTCACCTTTCATATGTGCCCCAACAGGGGACTGAATCCACAACCCAGGCATGTGCTCTGACCAGGAATCGAACCAGCGACCTTTCACTTTATGGGAGGACACCCGACCAAATGAGCCAAACCAGTTAGGGCATATTGTTATTTTAAATTTTAATTGTTACTTCTGTTTAGAGTCACTCTTAAATTTGGTGGAAAGCCCAGTTTTTACATTCATCAATTACCCCCCATCCCCTCCTCCACCTCCCTTTACCGCCACTGTGCTCCTGGGCAACCACCACACTGTTGTTCGTGTCCATGAGTTTTCCTTTTTTTTTTTTCCTTTTTTTGCCCCATCCCTCCACTCTCCTCATCAATGGCGATGGACGGAGACTTGAGATGGGGAACACACAATACAGTGTACCGATGATGTGTTGTAGAATTGTGTGCCGGAAACCCGTATAACTTTGTTAACTGGTATCTCTCTAATATAGTCAATAAAAAGGAGAAAAATAAAATACAGATTCCTTTCCAAGAGTTGACATTAAGTCCACAGATCATGAATCATTCACCTGATAGGAAGAACAACCAAGCAAACAAAACCCCTACGTAATCTATGACTGTGATCATGCCAGTAATCTTTAAGGATATGTTCTTCCTTTAGTAAGGTTTCTACATTGCTTTTTAAACTTTGTTTTAGAGGGATTTTAGAGAGTGAGGAAGTAAGAGGGAGAAAGGGAGAGAGAAACACTGCTTTGCTGTCCCACTTATTTATGCATTCATTGGTTGATTCTTGCATGTACCCTGACGAGGGATCAAACCTGCAACCTCGGCGTATCGGGATGACACGGGAACTCACTGAACTACCTGGCCAGGGCAGATTTGTACACTTCTGAACAAAGTTGTTTATAAAACTTGATGGAATATATGATTGATTGTATGGTAATCCATAGGAACACATCCCTTTAAGGGATGTAATAAGATACATAGACCAACTTAACCAAGAGCTTTTACTTCAAAGGAAAAGATTTAGGAGCATTAACAGAGATAAGGAAAGAAACAAGCATCTTGTCAACTGATGCAAAGAAATGATTAAAATAATGAGCTGGATAAAATTGTAAATCATGAAAATAGAACCATCATTCTTAATGTATTTTACGTCCATGTGCAGATTTAACAATGACTACCTATATTTTGTAGAAATTTTTTTTTTTTTTTTTTTTTTTTAAAATTTTATTTCTTTTTTTTTTTTTTTTAATTATTTATTTATTTATTTATTTTTTATTTCTTTAGAGGAGAAGGAGAGAGGGAGAGAAATGCTTCCCCTAGGGAGCAAGGATCGATGGGAAACTTCCAGTTATGTAAGAGGGCATTTTGTAGAAATTTTTATTGCTTTTATTCACACTCATAATATTTTATGGTGAAATAGACCACGTGTGCACTCTGTAATATTGTTTTTCTTGTGATGCATATGATATACACCATTATATTTAAACAAACATTGAATTTGTGAATAGTTGTAGATCTGCCAAAAAATTGCAGAGATACACAGGGACTTTTCGTGTGCCCACACCCAGCCTCCTCTGTTCTTTGCCTCTGACATGATACACACAATTTAAAGAGTGCTAATTATTTTTGGAAGAACACATCTACGCATTCATTTCCCAGCTTAAGAAAGACAGTATCACCAACGCCCATTTGTCCCTCCGGGACCCTGTCCCTTCACCTCTCCAGGTGAACACTGTCTTGATTTTGGGGTCTATTTTTTCCCTTTGTGATTTGACATCTGTTAAGGGGGTTCTACATTTTTGAACTGTGTACTGTGGAAGCTTCCACAGTAAATTTTCAACTTTGGCAGTTTTTAAAAAATAACCAATCTTAAGTTTACTTAGGTATCTCTGTTTGTTCAATCATCTTCTCAGTTGGTACCTTCAGTACCAGAATGTGGCTGACCTGGCATGAGGTTCTAGTCACTGTATACTTGACCTGCAAACTCTAGCGCTCCCTAATGTTTCCAGGGCTGGGAGCGAGGGTCCAAAAGAAAGCAGAAGGCCTTTTGATGTTCTGCCTCCTCCTCCCAGCCTCATGCCTCTAGGACCTGGTAGAGGTGGTCCATTGCTCCAGAAACCCACTTAGGGCTGGTAGGCTGGGAATTCTGGATTCTTGGAGTGGACTAGATAATGGGGAGAAGGGTGCAAGTGGGCACATTACCTTACTTTGTGGCTGAATGATGGCTAGACTGACGTCCTCTAAAATGCAGGACTGGCACAGGGGCCCTGATGGCCTGAGTGAGACTGGCCATTGTGAGGTGACCAGTGCTCCTTAGTTTTAGCACTGAAAGCTCAGAGTCCTGGGAACACCCCTGCTGCAGGGCAAACTGTGACAGATGGTCGCCCTAGAAAACCTTCTGGTCTATGTACTTGAGAGCTTCCTTTATTACTAGGTCATTTTACCTAGGTGGAAGGCATTTCTTAGGTGGTTCATTCTTCAGCAAGTTTATCTTCAAGTAAATAAATATCCCAATGTTCTGAGACACTTCCCATCAGTTCTCAGCAAATGGTCAGTCTAACCTGGCCTCAGTGCCCCACTGTGAAGGAGTGGTCTGTTCCAATAGCCTGGGGTGCATTTCTGTTCCGTGTCAGTCTCGGGAGTGACAGTCATGTTGGGAGAGTGGGCTGCTCCTGAACTTGGAACACTCTTCATAATCCATGCCCAACTCCACTATCTGTCTATTATTTTTTACTTTTTAGCACCCCCCTCAGATATATGCCTTTCAAAAAGTCAGACTGCATTACGATCAGCCTTTTATCATTTATAAATTACAAATTTTAAATCTAGTTCTCCAGATTAACTTCTGTATATTCCCCTATGCAATCTTTGTGCTCTTGTCTAACACATTCTGTGGCATGAGCTGGAGACACCAAACTGCAGAATTCACACGCTCCTGCATGTGTGGATCAAACATAATCCATTCCCTGAACCGGCAGCATCACCATGGAGTCAAACCGACATCTCACTCTGGCTCAGTGACACACAGTGATAATTTATCTGTCATCCTTGTAGCTGTTTAATATGCTGACTGCCTCTGGTAATGGATCCATCTATTAATTCGGCATTAAGTATTTCCCAGAAATCTTCGTATTTTAGAACTTTCATTTCAAATGGGTTCAGTGCTGAAATTCTCTCTGCTATTGCATTACATTGACTTGTGGATGCCTGTTATCACAGACTAATGAGACTAACCTGCCTGGAACCCTTCTTTGTTCTTAACGTCTCTGGCTGTTAAATATTGTGGAATATGAAGTGCCTCGTGCTATGAGGGTGTGCTTTCTGTAAAGTTCCATGATCTGTGCTTGTGACTACAAGTTTTCCTAGTTCTGTTTCCTACGGGCATGTTGCACCATTCATTTTATTTTGATATAGTTTGAAATGTGTCAGGAAACACCATCTGGAGAAAAGGAGATTAGCGGAGCTGTTTATATTCCTGGCATATTGTAGTTGCCTCATGTAGTATTGAACTATTAGCCTTTCTATTTTTATTTGAACATTCTTAATTGGTTAATAAGTCATCCAGAAAATATACAGAGATATGGCAACCATGTCCTATATCATGGAAGTAATTTACACACTGAAGATGTGAATTGTGTTGTGTGTTATAAATTGATACTCAAAGAGCTTTCATTATCTTTTCTTGATAAATTAAATTTGAAACTTCGCTTTCTCCATTGGTTAAAAATTAACATTTCAAGTTTCTGATAACAGTTTTGAATATGCAACTGGCCTTGAATTGCCATGTAAGTGCATTTTGTTAGGCAAACAAAGCAATAAAAGTAAATATCCTCAAAATATTTCATTATATTAGAAATTCCCAGGTAGGAAACTGGCATGAATTGTACAGAATTAGGAAGCTGCTGGTTCATTTCTTATTCTTTGAAATTGTAGTCGTGGTTGACAACCGTAACAGCAAAGAAAGATTAATGAAAAATGCACAAGTGTAAAATGTGTGTTCATACTCCATCAAGTTATTTATTTCACTTGGATAGAGAAGCAGAACATCATTAAATCCCAGACAATAATGGTCAATATTATAGTTCTTTGTTTTTTAAATAATTAGTAAGAGGTCTTAGATAAATGTTAGAAAAAAATCAATATAAAAGAACATTCTTTCATTGAGGCAAGGTAGAAATAAAACCAGACAATGAAATATTTTCACATTAAGCCATTATGATTTATTAAAATGCATGTATATACAGCTCTTGTATTTAATTAAATAAAGTAGTTGGTAACTTTATTTCAAGTTAACATAACTTCTTTTCCAAATAGGTAGCTTTAAATACAAAAGTATTTCACCACTATTGATTTATCTTTTCTTATCTAAAGTGCACATTTGTGTTATTTCTATTCTTTTTGTGTTCCAAAAGACTAAGTCCCTGTATTGAAATTATATATAATTTAGTACTGCTGACTAACATGTTTAGGATTCTGGGCTAATATTGGCATAATTTTAAAATTTGAATCAAGTCAGTATCTTTGCATGTAATTATTGTAACAGCGATCATTTCCTATGAATTCCATGAAAGAGAAATACTTTGTATAAATTGAAATATGTAATTTAGGGCAAAGTAATGGTACTTGCAATGGGCTTTTTTCTCTCTCTCTTAATTTAATAAAATAATCAAATGCCTATTTTTTTAATGAAGAATTCTATTGTACTGAATTCTTACTCATTATGATATATCCTGGTTTTACTTTGTTTTGTGTTTATCAGGTTGTCCTGACAACAGCTTTGGATCCAAATGTAAAAATCCCCTTGGTGGGTTTCAGGGATGTATGAGACACATTTCCATCAGTGCCAGAGCGGTGGACCTGATTTCCGTTCAGCAGGGGTCCCTTGGGAACTTCAGTGACCTTCAGATAGACTCCTGTGGGATCACAGACAGGTAAGGACCATCTCCTGTCTATTGTCAAATGTTTGGAGGCAGATTAAAATTAATGTATAAAACAAACATTTTTCTTTTTCCTATCATCATCTTTTCCACGGGAAATGAACTATCATAGTCAGATTAGAAGTAAGAAAAATAACCTTTCATTTTATATTTCATATTTGCAGTGATCAAATTTAGACAGAAAGCCTGTGACCATGCTGTTTATATGGACACATGCTACCAGTTCATAAAAGATAATGTTGATGCTGCTATAATCTTAGGTGGGTGTAAATGTATCAAAATTATATCACTAAATTCAATAGCTTAGGATACTTGAGCAGTCACATTGATCATCAGGTATCAAAAAATTAGTGTCCTGTTTGGCCAGTTATCAAACTGTCTTTGCTCTGTGGCAGGTGAATGAGGTTACCAGAGGTTTAGATGTTTAACTGGTTGCTCTGCTCCTAACGAACACATTCCAAAGCCCACTACTACCTTCCCTGCAGGGAGTAGGAAAGGGACCTGTCCTAAGGAAGAGTCTGGAGCTGTGGCAGGGCCGCAGTGTGAGTGAGGCTGCTCCGGCAGTAGCAGTAGGAATGCCAGTACAGGCCACGGCAGGGCAAGACTCAGCAGTTAACTGCAGAGGACAAGCAACTTTTCGAATAGTAATTGATAGTGGATAATTTAAAAGTAGTTTTAGGCATGGTCAACTTCAGCCAAACAATTTTTTTTAGTCAGACTTTAGAAAACTAGACCCTATGACAAATAGTCCCTGCCCTATCATAGAGTCATATGTTTTGAATAAATTCATAGACTCTGAGTTTTAAAAATAACTTTTTATTTGTAGCAAACATTTTACGAAGACAAACACTCATCTATTTCTGTCTGATAGACCATTTATTCTGTCACTATCTGTTGGTCCTATTTTGAACACTAATGGGTATTGTTATATCATTTAAAAAACTATAATTTTATTTAAAAATGAATTAAGCCCTGGCTGGTGTAGCTCAGTGGATTGAGCGTCGGCCTGCAAACCAGACAATCGCGGTTCGATTCCCAGTCAGGGCACATGCCTGGGTTGCAGACCAGTTCCCTGCAGGCCAGTTCCCAGCAGGGGACGCACGAAAGGCAACCATACATTGATGTTTCTCTCCCTCTCTCCTTCCCTTCCCCTCTAAAGATAAAAAAATAAGATATTAAAAAAATAAAATAAAATAAAAATGAATTAGAAGGACATCATTTCTTTTCTATGAATACAAATCTGTCTATTTTACCCCATTTGAAGGTAAAACAGTTCTTTCTATAATAAAAGATGATATATAAAGGGAGAATTTAGACAACAAACCTCAGTTGGCTTGATTTGGGGATTAAATGAGCTTTTCCATAGTTACAACTACACCGTCTCTGGAACCTTAATCCCAGTTTTGAGGAAGGCGTGTAGCAAGGCTCCCTGGTTCTGCTACCTTAAGACAGCTCACTCACAGACACAGGGAGTTGCCCCTCTGGTGGGTAGCAGCCACCCACCCGTGAATGGCAGGCATGTTGACTGGCTCAGACTGCAGGAAATTCTTTGGGTACAAGCAGGCCCCTCCTTCTCCTCTGTGGTTGATTTGGAACTGCTGTTTATACCTGAATCCATGTTGCCTGCTTTCTGGAGGTACACGCTTGTGAAATAGAATAAGATACAGCACAGTTGGAGAGTGTATGGTTTCAATATCACACCTTAAAAAGACTTCAGAAATAGTAAGCTACTTATGCAGAAGTCTTGACGGTACATTTTCTTAAAGAAAAACCATCTCATAGTGAGTGACCTGTGCAATCTTAGAAAACTAGCAAGGTTTACATTTTGTATACCTTTTAAAGTCCAAGTTATCATTCTCTTATACTCATAAGAAAAACATTTATATAATCATCCTTTCATATATGTGGGAGGATTGGGTGCAGTACCTCTGCAGATCACCGAAATCCACAGGTGCTTGTAGAATGGTGTAGCATTTGTATATAACCTACTTACATCCTCGCCTGTGCTTTAGATCATCTCTAAATTACTTCAAATAACTTACACAATGTACATGCTATATAAATAGTTGTTATACTGTATAATTTGGGGGATAATGCAAGAAAAAATGTCTGTATGTGTTCAGTACACATGCAACCATCATAGGCCTAACTGCATAGTACACATCAGCAACAAGGTAACCTTTTTCCCCTGAATATTTTCCATCCCTGTTTGGTCGTATCCACGGATGCATAACCAGTGGATACAGAGGCTGACTCAATTCATTTATTTTGGTCTTCCATGCTCTACCCATTGTGTAGCTTCCAAAGCATTGTTAAATAGAGTCTTTGAAAAATAAATCTGTGTACTAGCTATGCTAAGCACCTAACATGAATTAGTATTTATTTATTGTTTATTTTAGAAGTTGTATTGAAATAGGAAAAGGATAAACTGGAAAGGGATACGGGAGAAAGAAAGAAATGATTTGGCAGAGTATCAAAAATATTTTCCAATATCTTTCAAGCAGCCGTCTACATTCTAAGTCTTTTAGTATCTCTGAGGAGCAGTTGAGATGATGAATAAGAATATACGCACATTTTAAAAGAGCATTTGGTCATGTTTGGAAATAATGAAATGAAAGACATGGTTTTTTTTAATTGCAAAATACAAGAAAGGGTAAAGAAGTCATAAAATTGTCCATAACCTTATTATAAGCCATCCATTGTTATACAGATATTTTGCATAGTTATCATCACACACACACTCACACACACACACAAAACAAAATACAGGATAAAAAAGCTATTCCTATTCTAGTAATAGTTGATATTAGTATATATTTATTTATCAGAAAAGCATCTACAATCACATCAAAGAGCATTATATATCTGTGAGAATTTTGTTGAATTCACAAGTAAATCTTAGTGATTTTAGAAATTTGTTGTGTTTAGTATAACTTTATACTCTCCCTGAATCAATATTTAAATTTGTGTGTGTGAACATGTGTAAAGAAGATGTGTGTGTATAAGGGGTATAGAAAGATGTGTGGGAATGGCCTTACAGGTGTGTGAGTGTGTAAGAATGGTGTGTGAGTGTGTTAACATGTGAGCAGTAGATGATTGTGTTGATATTTGTGCAAGGATGTAAGGAACTTTGGCTATGTGAGTGAGTTTATGAGTGTGTATGCATGTGTGAGACTGTGCAGTGACTACGTTCTTAAACTGATTTTAAGTTAATTAATATGTATTCAAATTAACCCTCACAAAACCCTCAGAACCCGTTCTGAATTGTAGTTGTTTCTCATAAATACGGAAAGGCACTCGGAGCCGCCGGCCAGGACTGCGCGGCTACGAGGCAGAGCCCTGCGGCTGCTCGCGGCCCAGCCCCAGGAAGGCCCTGCCGTGCCTGCCACGCAGCCCTCGCTGCACCGTAGCCTTCGCTGTGGTTACTGTCTAACCACCGTATACAGACCCCAAATGTAACGGCTTAATAAATCTCAGTGAAAAATAGGAACGTTAAGATATATTTTTAAATTGGACAGGAACGAAACTAGTATAGTTCTTTTTTTGCTGTAACTAACTGTAAATTAGGCCAAAGCTATACATAATGGTGTACATGCATTTACACACATGTTCATACATATACAGTCTCTCAACACATGTACACACTCGTGCTCACCACACACATATCCAGAAGCTCTCTACCATGCACAGTCCTTATGCACACACACTCCTTATACACATATTCATGTCCCTCCTTCACACGCATGCACACCATAGGCAGACACACTTCTCACACACAGTCTCTACACCCTCATTCATAAACTTGTAAAGTCATTCCCACACTTATTACACACACATCTATGCACAGTCACACTCATTTACACACACGTATGCTCATTTCCAAACCCTCCCTTGTCCCCTGTGGAAAGGCAGGGGAGGTGGCCCTGAACCCAGGGGAGCTGGGAGTGGTGTGTCTGAGGGGTGGGGGCAGGGCTGCAAAGGAAGCTGCCGTCCATGTCCATGTCCATGTCCCTGTCCCCGTGTCTTGGCAGAAACCCAAGTGGAGCTGGGGTTAGGGTCACAGTTGTCAGGGCATTGATACTAAGTTGCCTGGAACCAAAGGACTTATTAAACAAAGGAAGTCAGTCTGTCTTTTGGCATCAACTGTTGAAGAGTGTCTGCTGACTGAGGACGGTCACCATCTCCCGACCACAGTGAGGCAAAGGGTATGGTGTGTCCCTGGTCTCCAGTGACTGCTGGGCTGCAGAGACTCCTAATGAACCAAGGCCACTGGGTCACAACGTCCACCATGGCAACCCCCGCAGGCCCAGCACCTGCCTCCAGGCTCCCTGGCTCGAGGCCTGACGCCCGCCATCGTGCTACTGCCCCAGCCCGCTCCTTCCACCGAGTCCCTGGGTGGTGCCGTCTTCCCTCCAGGCTGGCCCTGGTCCCCCAGTCCCCCACACTCCCCCTCCCCTTACCAAGGAGTGCCTTAAGCCTGCCCTTGGTCCTTCTCCCTTATGCTCACATGGAGTGTTTATTCTCCTGCTGACAAATTATTAGAAGATCATGGTGTTACTCTGTCTTCTGATATATTGAAGGCATAGCTTGTTTGTTTGGAGGAGAAAGGGGGTGGCATGGTTCCTATCAATTTCATGGTTTTGGGGAAGGATGTGAGATTTGAAATCAGATGTTCACGGTTATCCTAGGACCCACGGGTACCTACCCAGTTTTCCTAAATGTGTAGATTTTTACTTCAATATCATTAATTCCACCTATGCTTTACATTGTGTCAGAGTGTTTTGAAATTTACTTAGAAGTGGACAAGGAATCAGGAAAAACCAGAACTGTGCATGTTACTTCAGTTTTGGGAATGTTGATGTGTGCATTAGTTCAAGTTCATAAGCAGTGCAAAAAATGATGGAGAAGTCGAAGGAAAAGGCTAGAGAAGATGGGCCCCGGGTTGTTTTACTTTGTACTGGAATAACCAGTGAGGAGAAAAGTGCCATACAATTGTTTACAATGTTTAGTGAGACTTAGTACTTCGCTATACAATGTAGCTTTCTATAGGTTACAACTAGTAGTCAAACAAAATTACTATGTCATGAATTTAAATAAAACCCACAGTTCAGTCTTTCACGTTATAATAAAAATATGTGAACAGTCACGTCTGACTAGCGATCAAGGAAACTGGATTCATGGCCTTTTGTGGCAGATCGGTGAGGACAGCACAGGGCGACAGCACATCGTGCTCACTCTTCCGAGTTTTCGGCAGAGCCTCCTGTGCCCCCTTTAGACTGCGGCCGAGGCCTGTGAAAGGACGGACTGCACTGTCTGCTTCTGATTGCCGGCTGGGGTGGTTCTGTTAATATTTTAAAATGTTCCCATCCTAGATTATTATTGATTTGAAATGCTTAAAATATTAAATGTATAACAAAACATTCTTTGAATGACTTCCTTTGAATCTATAAAATGCTAAAATATATTTTAAATTAATTGGCATTATTTATTTTTGAATTTTTTAAAAGGCAGATTGTAAAATGACATGTTTTGCTTATATACACACACATACTGTGTTTCTTGGATTATAAGATGCACCTTTCTCCCTGCCCCAAATTTGGGGGGGAAGGGGGTGAGTCTTGTAGTTCCAGTGTAGCATACCTGGCTCACTGAGGGGTGGCAGCCTAGGTTACTTATGTCATTAAATATTTTACCACATTGTTTGCTTCAAAAAATTTTTTTCTCTTTTCCTCGTCTAAAACCTAGGTATGTCTGGTGCATTTTACAGTCTGAAAAATTTGGTATATCTATATCCATATACAATGTGTATATATATACATGAACATACAAATACATATTTATATAATTAATTTTTATATATTGATATTATGAGTTATATATCTTTTCTGGTGTTTCCTGAATTGTTTGATTTCTGTGCATTGGACATCTATTTTTTTTATCGGGAAAACTCAATAATATTATTTTCAGTTCAAGTTGGAATAATCCTATAAGCAAAGCATGAAATTCCCATTTTATTTATTTATTTATTTATTTATTTATTGATAGAGAGGGAGGGAGGGAGAAAGAGAGGGAGAGCAACATCAACATGTGGTTGCCTCTCGCGTGCCCCCTACTGGTGACGTGGCCTGCAACCCAGGCGTGTGCCCTGACTGGGAATTGGACCAGTGACCCTTTGGCTCGCAGGCTGGCACTTAATCCACTGAGCCACACCAGCCAGGGCCCCATCTTTAGTTTTAATAAAGGAGATGGCAGAACTGCCATCACAAATATATTCTTGGCAGGTTTTGTAGTTAATTTATTTTTATGTCTGGGATGAATGAGAACATTTAAAGCCTTGGACACAATGTATCATTCAGTAATTTTGTTCACTGTGCCCCAAGCCAAAAGGATATACCTACTACTTTCGCTTAGAAAGCAGTTAGTTTCTGTCCTAACAATTTAGTAACTCTCTGAAAACTTTATACATCTATTTTAATATTTTTATTTGCAATTAAAATTAAAAATTTTTAATTATAAAGACAATTAATTACTTAGTAATTGCTCATGTTTACTGTTGGGAACTGTACAGCTTTTCAAAGTATGGGATCCGGTCAGACACTGCCCCTCGTTTACTGTTCAACAACGGTTTCACGTGGTTCTTGTTTATCAACTTCTAAAAGTTCAGCTTCTCAAAGATAGGATATCATTAAAAGGAATGTATTTGTATCTAGTGTTGAAATTGAACTACCAGGGACTAGTAAGTCACACAGTGTTTGACAGGTGCTGAGCATGCCTGTATTTCTCTCGAAAACTTCAGTGTCCTGGGGCCCCGGCGGGTTCAGCTCAGCGTGCTGGAGCACCCGGCACGGTGCTGGGGTCTGGGCCTCTGTCCTGCATCTTCCCCAGGCCTGGGGGTAGGCACCAGGTGAATGAAGACGTCCCTTTGTCCCACTCCTTCTCTCCTTCTTTCTTTTTTTTTCTTCCTTTAAATATTCAGTGTAGTAAGTCAATATGATTTTGTGATGTTAATTTGTGTAAGCTATTTATACCTCTGGCAACATATTGAATCAGTGTTGCGTTTCTTAGGAAAAAGAAAGGGCTTTGAAAGAGTAAGACATGTTGAAAATTAAGCAGCCACAAGTACTTGAGAATTGGTTGAAATCTGATGAAGTTATTGATCTAAGGTTTAGTTCTGTGATTAAAGTGCTTTGATGACAGACCAAATAACCATTAGTCATGTTGAATTTACTCTTTATGTTACGGTTGACATTCCTCTTGCATATGACCATGGACAAAGGATCGATATTTTGTATCTCAAAGTGAAAAACAGTGATGCGCCTGTACCTTCTTTCAGGTGTTTGCCCAACTACTGTGAGCACGGCGGCGCGTGCTCCCAGTCCTGGAGCGCCTTCCACTGCAACTGTGCGGACACTGGCTACAGCGGCGCCACCTGCCACAACTGTAAGCTCGGCACACCTGCTGCTCCCAGCCTCTCTCCTGTTTCCTCGTTCCCTCTCCCTGTCGTTGCTGTGTGTGAATATGGCCATGTGTGTGCAACCGCGGATTAGAATGCACACCCCGAAACTTTACACATCCAGCTGATTTCTTCTTTTTATTGTTGTTCGAGTACAGCTATCTCCAGTCTCACCCCACCACGGCCCTCCCTCCCCACTCATCCCTGCCTCCCAGCCTCACACCTACCCCCTTTGGCTTTGTCCGTAGGTTTTATACATGCCCCTTGATGGCCCTCCCCCTAGTTTTCCTCATTGTCCTTCTCCCCCTGCCCCTCTGGTTACTGTCAGTTTGTTCTTTATTTCAGTGTTTCTGGTTAGGTTTTGCTCGCTTGCTTGTTTCATTGAGTACGTTCTACTTATAGGTGAGATCATGAAAGACGAATACCATATGATCCAGTTGATTTCTGATAGTCCCAGATCCTTTAGTTCCGGTCACCACCTTAGTTGGTGGGTACTCTTATTATCCCTCACTACTCATGAGGCGGCAGAGAGAGAGGTCCACTAACCTGAGGCTTCTGAAGTAGCTGAGCCACAGGGAGGACGTGAGCACTTGCCATTCCACCCCAGGGCCCGGGTTGCAGCCAGAGCTCCTTTTCCGTATCAGGAGCCGTGTGTTTATTGTGATGGGCGTGTGTGTGTGTGTGTGTGTGTGTGTGTGTGTGTGTGTGTGACTCACGCCACTCCCTGTCCAGCTGTTCGGTGCATATGACGTGCTCCCCGAGGGCGTTACTTACCGTCATCAACCTCACCCCTCTTCACTGCACGCTGCTTCATGCCCCGGCCAGACTTGAGATCAGAATCCTTTGGAATCCTGGGCTTTTGGCTGTTGGGGCTCCACAAGCAGACTCTGAGAAGTCTTGTTCGGGGCTGCAGCCTGAGTCATTCTTGGGCATCAACTTATGTATCACCTCCTAAGATCATGAAGAAGGTTTGCTGTTTCTGAAGTCACATCTTACTGTCACCAGAGGCCAAGATACTTGACCCAAGTCACCCAGCTGGTGGAGGGACAGTACATTTTAATTATCATCATTCCATGGTAGCAACTAACTCAAAACAGAAAGCTCGATGAATGTATTTTGATTGACTGATTATTTGTCTTTAATTGTTCTCAATAACTGATTTTAAATATAAACCCAACAGCTCTGAGGAAAAAAAACCAGATGATGAATAAATGAGATATTTTCATCTGTGGCCCACAGTCTGACCTCATCTCTGAGTTAGTTCATTAGATTCTGGAACAGGTAGTCCGATGGAGCTGAAGGGTTTTTGATGGTAGCCATTGTGAGAAGTGGGGCAGGGATGACAAGCTATTTACTAGTTACTGTGAAGCCAGCACTGTCTTTGGCATGAGTGGAGGGAGGGGCAGGGAAAGGGGTCTCTTAAAAAAATTCTTATTAAAAATAATATGTTGAACAGTCACATTATAAAATGTCAAGCAATACACATGGAGCAAAAGTGTACTCTTAATTACCCTCATCCAATTATGTGAGCTTTCTAATACCCATCTTCACTCCAAAGCTATGTGTAGGTGCTGCCAGTGTCTTTCAAGGAATTTGTGAACATAGGTGTGTGCATATAGATGAATAGAAATTAACCATTTTTACATGCCCACTTCACTGTACAAAGTACAGACGTGACTGGCAAGCAATCCCTCCGTATATTTCCATCTGTGTAATATGTAGTAGGAAAAAATAAAACCATTAGCCTGTGGAGGAGTGGAAAAGTAATTTTGCATGATCTGAAATTTTGTAGCATTGGGCAAATCAGTTACATTATTTCATATTTTCTAAAACTCTAACCTAATTTTCAAAAATTTAGAATAAATCAGGGGAGGACATTCAGGGATGATTTACTTCTCATTTCACAGAATAAGAAGCTTGATGGAAATTATTAGTACATTTGGCCAAGTATTCAGGGAGATTGTGCATCATATATAGGTGTTAATGTCAAAACTTGTGCATGGGAAATATATAATCTTATAATGAAAAACATCCAATTATGTGTCAAATCACATTGAGTCCTCTTGGGGCAATATTTCATATAAATATTTCTCCTGCTTTGAATTTAAATGATCCTGAATTCTTGTTATAGAACATTATAGAAAGTGTCTTTTATGAATTACTTTTTAAATTAATGATGAACTTTATAAATTATATTTCTTGTATAGAAAATGATTTTATGTATAGACGATTGTATGTGAGAAAGGAGAATACTTACAACATTGTTTACGACTTTTCTACTGCATGTTACTGGCCCCCAGCAGGTCGTGTAGACCGCGCCATTGTGGCTCAGGTGTCAGCACACCTGTTGCTGCGGATGCTGAGTGGTCCACGGGGTGGATGCCCAAAGTGATAAGCGTCGTACCATTTAAGACAACTACCTTCTCTTTTGTTGTTTCTCCCTAATGTAAAAATAAAGTAAATTTTCATTTTGGCTAGATATTCTCATGCTCCTTCAGTGATAAAAATATAATAGCATAAAACACAGCCTCATCCTTCCTATTTTTCTATCTAACCTGCTTTCATCCATATCAGTTTTTTTTTAAAAAGGATAGTTTTATTTTCAAGTATGTTTCCCTTTCCTTCTGGTCAACACTCCAGGTTTAAAACTTGGAGTATTTTGTGTCCAAACTAAAATTTTAGGAATTCCCTTTGTCCTCTTCCATTCACGATGACCCATTATTTTACAGCTGTCTACGAGCAGTCGTGCGAAGCCTATAAGCACAGAGGAAATGCGTCAGGGTTCTACCACGTAGACTTGGACGGCAGTGGGCCCCTGGAGCCGTTCCTCCTGTACTGCAACATGACCGGTGAGTTAATGAACTTCCGTTTAATGGTGATGTTGGCAAGAATGCTTTAAACGTGGAATTAAAATGAAGCAAGTATTAAAATGAAGCAAATTGCAGATTTTAATCAAATTCATTTGCAATTTGATTAAATATATGTTGTTCAGTAGAACTAACATAAATTCTTAAAAATAGTGATAATGATTTAAAATGTTGTCATTATTTTCTATATGTGTGGTATGAGCATAGAACATCTAATAGTAAATGTATCTCATTAAATCCCAAAACAAAAAGGATAGACTTCATTCTTTGAGATGGATACATGTAAAAGTCTTTGTGAACATAAAGTTGCTTCTTGAATTCTTTATTTGCATATACTTACATATGAATTAACAGTCATGGAGAATATGTTTGATTAAATTCAACATTTGTTTGTGAAAAAAAGAAAATAAAAAGAATCAGTACATTACAACTAGAAGGAAATTTCCTTAATTTGTTAAAGAGTAGCCACAAAATACTCTACAGCCTGTAACACAGTTCATGGTAAAACAGTGGAAGCTGTACCCTGTTGCCAGCGTCACCACAAGGACGCCTGCCATTGTCACACCGTCCCCTGCTGCCGTGGACGTCCCAGCCAGTGCAGAAAAGCCGGAGGAATGAATGGACGGTGTAAGGGCTGGAACAAAAGAACTAAGGTTCTCATTATTTACAGATGGCCAGGTTATGTGTTGAGAATATTCTAAACAATCTACAGATGAACTACTAAAATTTAGGATGATTGCTGGATGTCAGTTGAAACGAAAATTAATTGATTTCTGCATATGAACAGTAAGCAATTAGAAAATGAAATTTTAGATTTTACTTTAGCATCAGAAATCTTGAATACATGGTAATAAATCTAATGGAAGGTGTGCAGGGCTTCTACTTCGATAAGTGTAAAATGAAATTGAGATAAACTAACATCCAAAGTAAATGGAGAAATATACATATCAAATTTTCATTGATTAGAGAACTCGATATGGTACAAATATCAATTTTTCCCAAGTAGTCATTGATTCAGTGCAAACCTAAATTAAAATTCCAGCGGGGTGTTTGCCTGCTGGTTGGTGTAATTATTTAGGTGAAAGCAAACGAGCAGCTTCTAAAATTTATCAGCAGATTTGAAGGAACAAGAAGAAGCAAATTTACCTTGAAGAATGAAGTTGAAGGACTCGGCGCCACCAGGTGGAACGACATTACACCGGATGGGCTAAGCACAGCAGTGTGTGACTGGCGTAGGGATAAACGGGCCAGCGAAACAAAATAGAGGGGTCGAGCTTCCTTTGCAGCAGTGGTGCTGAGGGAAGTTGTATATACATGTTGTGAAGAGGAAATCTTGATTCCTTCATCAAGTGCCAAGAAATGGAATCTAGATGAAGTGTGCTGTCTAATATAGTAGCCATTAGTAAACAAGTGCCTATTTAGATTCAAACCTAATTGAAATTAATGAACCGAGTGAATGGAAATAAATTTTACAAATGTAAATTAATTCATTAAAAGAAGATTATATTAAAATGTCAGGTCCTTAGTCTCACGGGCCACATTTTAGCTGCTCGATAGCCACCTGTTCCATCACTTCAGAAAGTTTCCAGTGGTCCCGCTCTGTCAGGAAGTCAGAAAAAGCAAACGTTAAATTGAAGGTGTTGGAGAGTTGGATTTACTACTTAAAATCAGGCTGTGAATATCTGGGGAAAGAGCCTCCCAGGCAGAGGAAATAGAACTGCTGAGTCCCGAGAGGGGTGGGTGATCTTACCAGGTGTGTTCCAGCCCAGCAGCACATCCAGTGTGGCGGGCGTGTGGCGAGCAGCTGGGGAGTAGAGGAGAGTCAGCGAGGGTGGGGGCAGGAAGGCAAGCACCACCACGTCCACAGAACAGTGTTGTAAGGTCTCTGGTTTCACTCTGATTGAGATAAAAAGACTTTGGAGCGTTTTAAACAATGGTGAATGCAACCTGATTTCCCTTAACAGGGTCATGATTGCTCCTGTGTTGTAGGAAATCCTACTCAGCAGCAGGGGTAGAGGGATGTCAGGAAACCATGTATATATCAGGGTGCACATGCACAGTATAAAATATATAGAGGGATGGGCAGAAGTAGGTTTATAGTTGTGAGTACATGAAACACAGTTTATTCTTGTATTAGTATCTATTAATGATTGCATTATTTTTCCTACAATTATAAACCTACTTTTGCCCACCCCTGTATCTCTATTTCTATCCATATAGGTCAGTACCTATCATCTATCTATATGTCTGTCTGTCTGTCTGTTTATCTATCTATCAGAAGAGTTGGGAAACCTGTTTGGAGACCAGTTAAAGAAATGTAGGAATCCAGGTGCGGGCAGGTGATGGTGGCTTGATGGGGTAACAGCAATGCAGATAAGAGAAGGAGGTCTGGTTTTCTCTTCGAATGCATGGGAAGTGTGAGGGAACGGAAGGAGCTCCAAATAACACATTTTTGTCTTGGGCAACTGGAGTGGTCGAGTTGCCATTATTTGAGATATGGTTAGAAAGGTTTAAGGAGGGAGATCAATTCTACACGTTTTGAGTTTGAGTCTGTTACACATTCAGATGAGCTACTGAGGAGGTGGTCGAATATGAGAGCCACAGTTCCTTTGTGTTAATGTGTAATACTAACTCAACACCAAAAAAACAAACAATGCAATTAAAAAATGGGCAAAGGACCTGAATAGACACTTCTCCAAGGAGGACATATATGTGGCCAATAGACATATGAACGGATGCTGAACATCACTAATCACCAGAGAAATGCAAATTAAAACCACAATGAGATACTGTCTCACACCTGTCAGAATGGCTATCATCAATAAATTAACAAACAAGTGCTGGTGAGGATGCAGAGAAAGGGGAACCTTTTGCACTGTTGGTGAGAATGCAGATTGGTGCAACCACTGTGGAAAGCAATATGGAGATAGCTCAGAAAATTGAAAATGGATCTGCCTATGATCCAGTGCTTTCACTTCTGGGAATTTATCTGAAGAAACGTGAAACACTAATTCAAAAGAATATATACATTTCTATGTTCATTACAGTGTTACATATAGTAACCAAGGTTTGGAAGCAGCTCAAGTGTCCATCAGTAGATGAGTGGATAAAATAGTTATCATTTATGCAATGGAATACTACTTGGCCCCGAAAAAGAAGAAAAATTTTACCCGTTGCAGCATTGTGGATGGACCTGGAGAACATTATGCTAAGTGAAATAAGCCAGTCAGAGACAAATACCATATGATTTCACTCATATGTAGAATCTAATGAAAAAACTGAAGAAACAAGGAAAATGGGGACAAACTCAGATGGAGAGCAGGCTGATAGCTTGGGGGGGGGGCGGTTGGGGAGTGGAGGGATCAAGCCAAAAAGAAAAAGAACTCATGGACACATAACAGTGTGGTGATTGGGGTGGGAGGGAGGTGGGTGAAGGTGGAAAGGGGGCATAAGGTGGACAGATGGCAATGGAAAAAATATAATACAAAAGAAAATATAAAAAATAAAAACTTCAGATGGAGGTAAAACCTGGGAAAAACAGATTTGGGGAGAAATTTCTGCAGAGTGTGTCTAGAGATGTTTTCCTATAATGCAGTCAGGTGGCTTCTGTTTGCTTCAGCAACCAGGGAGGACACGGCCTGCCTCGGCTCCTGGCTGCTGCCACAAAGCCCCAGACCGGGTAGCTCAGAAACAGCAGAAAGTTATTTCCTGCAGTTTGGGAGACTGGAGGGGCCAAGGTCATGGTGGCAGAACAGCTGGGTGCGGGCCCTCCTCCGGTCGCTCACTTCTTGTGACCTCACACGTATTTAAATACCTTTAACCATTACAACCTGAAAAACACAAAGAAAACGTCTTTTGGATGGACATTTTCCTAAATTATGTTAAAAATGGAAAATCGTTTTCAAATTGAGTTCTAACTATAATTTTCAAATAATTAGGATAATGTGAATGCAAGTGTCTGTCGCTATTGAAATGTAGGAGTGCTCCAGTAAGCCACCGCTTTTCCTATAATGACAGGGCTTTAGATGCAGGAAGTTTCTCGTGATCAAACATTGCATAAAGACCATTGTTTCAGTGGGGGTGGGGGCGTGAAAGTCGGAGCAGTGGCTTTCACACTTTGTGAAAATGATGCTTCCGTGGCTTACAGTCACCCTTCCCCGTGGGCTGCTTGGTTTCACTGGGTCAGCAGGTTTCGGGACCCAGGCCTGGGGCTCCGCTCTGTTCACAAGCCCCTGCGTGATTCTGAGCTGCAGCCTCCTGAGGCTGCTCAGTGAGCAGGGTGGGGAGTATAAGACTTACAATGAAATTGTTTTTACTTCAGGGATTTCAATCGTAAGGCCTTCTTAACAGCTGTGAGAGTTAATAACTAACCATCATTATTCAAACGCAGCCTCGCTGACATCCCTTGCTCCAGAATGTTCTTTCCTTTCATCTCACCGGCTTTCCTTGATGCAGCACTTCCTACCTGCTCTCACAGGCTGTGCCGCATCCGTCGCCCTCACTGTTGAGCAGGAAAGAACACGGGCTCGACAGCTCTGTTGCTTAGGCAGCGTGTTTCCCCTCCACACGGTCACCACGCTGAAAACAGCACTCAGTCCAGGATAGATCAAGTTCTTATTATTCAGTTGCTTTACACACAATTTATATTATTGGAAATATCCTCAGGGAGAGACGCCAGGAGACCCAATCTGCCTTTCAGTATTGTTCAGTGTGTTTATCAGTGTTCCTAGGTTTTCTGCCTATTTCAGCTCTCTCTTCTTGCTCATTTCCCTTGTCTCCTTACCTCAACAACTCTCTTTGCATGAGGGTCACTTTCACCAACATGCAATCATGGCTCTTATACAGACATGACAATAAAAGCTAAAAAACACTCTTTGAAGGCTTTGTGTAACACGTCCGCAATGAGGAAAGTGGTGAGATGACCGTTCGAGGGGCCCCATGGAACAGACCCACGCAGGCGCGAGTGGAGACAACACTGGCTGTTGCCGGAGTGGAGGGGGTGTCCGCTGAACCTCTGCCAGGTGGAATTTCCTTGTCTGTAGACAAGAATTATTTGTTAAAACACAGTAGTAATAAATTTTCACATGCTTAGAAAAAAAAAAGAATTATTTGTTGCAAGGAAACTTGCTTTCTAAGGAAAAGAAATCCTGGAAGCCTGGGTTAAAGGATAATTAAATGTTAATATGTCTTAGAAATAAGAGATAGTGAATTTCTCTGGAGAGAATTAGAGGCTTATCTCCCTGAGCAGCATTCGCTTACCTTCTAAGAGTGATGAAAACATAAGGATTTGTGTCCTCTCTCCTTTCTCATTTTATGGGGGAGAGAAGAGGTGCCAGCCATCCTCCACAAGCTCCACGTCTCATAATTGAGGGGTTTTTCACTTGTGGTGCAGCTCTAGCACACACAGGAGCCCCTGGCTCTCGTTTTTATGGGCCTGTGGAAAAATGGGGTGTCGGGGATGGTTGCTGCTAAGGCTCCGGGGTCAGAAGATCCTTGGTCCAGAGATCTCCTATGCATGTGTCTGTATCTTTATCACCTGCGTCTTTGTCGGCATATCTGGGTATGTGAATGTAGGTACAGTGTGTAATGGGGCAGGGTAACTAGTGAGGAGGATAATAGCATCTGACACCCTTCACAACTTCAGTCTTAACCTCATTATGCAGTGCTCAGTCATCTACAGTTTACACTTATGAAACTGCTAAAAGGCGATGAAAGTCTCAGAGTCCGATCACCTAGAAGGTTGTGTTCTAGTCTGGACAGTGCGCTGTTGTATTCATTGGTTTAGTTCCTCATTTCCTTAATGTCTTCTTCTGCGTGTTGTGCCAAGGCCCAGGGCCATGTGCTGGAGATACTGTGGGTAGCAAACCAGAAGCTAGCAGTCTTCTCTTAGAGCTTCCAGACGCACAGGAGAGACCACCAAAATAAGTCACAAAAGACTGAGTTGCAAATTGTGCCGTCGGAGGGGAACACGGCTCCGGGGCCGTTTCCCTTGCTCAGAATCCACGGTGGTGGTTTCATTGTCTCTGCCTCGCGCCGGGAACCTGGATGGTCTAATAAGCATAGCATCTGGTTCACCGCCTACTTGGTAGCACTTTTTATTAGAAAACAAAATCTCTTACAGGAATGATCATAATATTGAAATTTCAGAATTTCAAAAGGAAACTTTGACACAAGCTGCCCTTTAATGGCTGTCATGCACTGTGGCCTTGAGTCTCTTACAGCAACTTAGACGACCTTTCCAGCCCCGTATTCGTTGTGACCCAGGGCACACTAGACTGTAGGAGAGTGCTTCGCAGAGTGGCCCCAAAGGCAGGGAGACAAAGGGTCCCAGCAGGTTTATTGTCCTGCCCTTTCGGCAGCTGCTCAGCCAGAGTCGAACTTCTTCATGCATGCCTTTGATTTGCCACAAGAAAAGATGAATCATTTTGCTGAACAATAAGAGCAGAGTCCAGCAGAGACTAGGTGAACAGATTTGCTTCATTAATAATCTTAAACTTCTAACAGTCGAGGTTGAGCTGGGTCAGGCTGCAGAACTTTAGACCTACTCTGTGGCTTACTCTATCCTGTGACTGTTTTCCAAATTTGGAAACTTGGAAGCTCGGATTTCCTTTGACTTTCTAAAGGGGCAGACCTATGCCACGTCCGCCACTAAGATCTCCTGAAGGGTTCTGTGCTGTACTGCTGCTTCGCCCCACTAACTGACTTCATTATCTTTTATAGGATATCAGGTCCTTCTCAAAGAAAGTAGTTTACTGATAAAGCTCTGTCCTGAGCTTCGAAGCAAGGCAGAAATGAAAATAACAACTGTTGTTTCAGAAAGAATAACGATCCGCACATAGAAGGCAACATGGCCACCTTCGCGTCTGATCTCATTTATGTAGCTGGCTGTTCAAACTTCTGATGGCCAGGAGAGGGCTGAATGAAGTTTCTCAGCACATACCTCTGTATCGTGGTTGCTTTGTTGAACCATGTGGATATATATTAGCTAAAAGGGGGCGGGGTGGTAAATTCTATCCACTGTTTTTCTCTAATTTGAAATGTTTCTCTGAAGTACAGAGAGTTATGTGACTTAACAATACATATATACGAGGGTTTTGACAACTTCCAATCTGTTTCCAACCTGTTAAATCAGAGAACTTTTGATTAATCTATTCTTGTGCCTGCACATAGCACAGTAAATATGATATGAAGTCTTGCTGGAAAAGTTGAAGGATTGATACATTGTGCCTGCCTTCTGTTATAAACAACATAGGACTTTTATTTCATCTAAACACTTCTGGTATCAGAAAGGGACAATGGCGGTCCCCTCTGCCACTTCCTGCCACTGGAGCCTGCACGGTCTGTCTCACCGCTTTGCTCCTTCACCAGTTTATCGGCGCTTGACTGTGTGACTGTGGTCAGCCCTCAGCGAGTCCACCGCCTTGCACCCGCAGTGGGTTCGCCCGCTACTCCACACCTGGGATCTGCCCACAGCTGCCTGCGTGCCTGGTCGGTCCAGTGGATCTTTCCTACCCGACCCCACTCTGCTGCTGGCTCTGCCCCTCTTACCAGTTTGGCTGAAGGGTTCGTTGTTGTCAGACTTCCATGTAGTTCAATTTTCTGTGGTTTGGCTGCGTTTTTGTTGCTAAAACTTTGGTGTTTTTAAACTTGTTTGTGTGAGAAGGCTCAGTGCTTCCACCTACACCTCCATCCCTCTCTGACCCTGCCCCCACATCCAGCCTCACAAACCAGCGACCTGGGTGGCCCCACCCTGGTGAACACCTCCTTGTACTTAACAGGCACGAACAGATCAAAACATGGCTCAAGAAGAACTCAGAGCCCCAGAGCCAATAAATCTAAGCGATGAAGAAATAGCAAAACTTTCAGATGCACAGTTCAAAACACTGGTGATCAGGATGCTCACAGAACTGGTTGATTTTAGTCACAAATTAGAGGAACATATGAAGGCTAAACTAATTGAAATGAATGGTAATGCACAGGAAACCAATAGTGATGGAAAGGAAACTGGGACTCAAATCAAAGGAGTGGACCAGAAAGAGGAAAAAATGACCAAACAGGAAAATATGAAGAACCAAGAATTCAAAAAAATGAGGAGAGACTTAGGAACCTCCAGGACATCTTTAAACGCTCCAACATCCGAATTATAGGGGTACCAGAAGGGGGAAAGGAACAGCCACGAGTGGAAAACTTATTCGAACAAATAATAAAGGAGAACTTCCCCAATCTGGCAAAGGCAATAGACTTCCAGGAAATCCAGGAAGCTCAGAGAGTCCCAAAGAAGTTGGACCCAAGAAGGAACACACCAAGGCACATCATCATTACATTAGCCAAGATTAAAATGAAGGAGAGAATTCTAGAAGCAGCAAGAGCTAAGGGGACAGTCACCTACAAAGGAGTGCCCATCAGACTGTCAGCAGATTTCTCAAAAGAGACCTTACAGGCAAGAAGGGGCTGGAAAGAAGTATTCCTTTCAAGTCATGAAATTCAAAGACCTACATCCAAGATTGCTCTATCCAGCAAAGCTTTCATTTAGAATGGAAGGACAGATAAAGTGCTTCTCAGATAAGATCAAATTCAAGGAGTTCATCATCACCAAGCCCTTATTATATGAAATGTTAAAGGGACTTACCTAAGAAAAAGAAGATAAAAAAGATGAACAGTGAAAGGACAGCAAACTCACATTTATTAAGAACCACACCTAAAACAAAAGCAAACTAAGAGGACAGCTAGGTCAGGAGCAGAACCATAGAAATGAAGATCACATGGAAGGTTAGCAACAGGGGAGTGGGAGAAGGAGAAGGTGGGATAAGGTACAGAGAATAAGTAGCATAGATGGTAGGTAGAAAATAGATAGGGGAGAGGGCAAGAATAATATGGGAAATATAGAATCTAAAGAACTTGAGACATATGGTCATAAACTAAAGGGGAGAATGGTGGGGGAGGGGTTGTGCAGGGTGGAGGGGAATGAAGGGGGGAAATAGAACTGTAATGACATAATCAATAAAATATATTTAAAAAAAGAAAGAAGATGAAAAAATAAATAAAATAAACACTTCTGGTAATCACTAGGATGGAAATGTCTGCAGACGTTTTCGGGTGTTCATAGTGACAGCTCTAGAGTTTTTTGTGTTGATGGAGTTGCTGGTGCTGGATCAGATGTGTTCAGTTCCAAAGAGTAACTTCTGTTGCATTGCATACTGATGGAGATCATGTGACTACAAAATGACTGTTTCAAATGTGATTTAAAAAGAAAAGACATATACTCATAATTGAATATTGTTTGAAGAGAGATATACCATAAGCCATAAAATTTTGACTTTTTTTACAAGACTTCAGAAGTCATTGCTTAATGTTATGTAATTCAAAATATTTTGCAAATTCTGAGATGCCGCCCCTTTTTGCATTGTAATGTCTCTGAATTTAGGGTGTATCACATCAATACTCCACAGTGCTTTACAATTATAATAGGTAGTATTTTTTTCTTTCCTGAAGGCAAATAAAATAATGATGTATGATGGTGTATTTTTAGAAAGTAGAATACAAGATTTGATGAAATATACCACAAAAATTTAATAATCAGTTTTCTTAATATTTTTCATCATAAATATTATCTTGCTAAATTATATGAAAAAGTAAAATAAAATCATAGCAAATGCATAGCTGTCATATAAATTTCAGGGATAGAATCACTTTACTATAATTCAAAAAATTTTTATACATGTGTTTTTATATTAAATTTTAAGAGTCCTTTTGTGTTGATTCTACCTCTCAGAGAGGTTTATGACTAGAAAGTTTTGACTCAGATGAAAGGTGATTTTGATTTTCTTTATTTATTTTAACTTTTGCAGACTAGTGATGGTCTCCTCTCTTTCTTCCCCCATTTCTGCATCCAAGAAACTGCATGGACCATCATCCAGCACAATGGCTCCGAGTTAACAAGAGTGAGAAACACTCATCCGGAGAACCCATATGCTGGGTTTTTCGAGTACTCGGCCAGCCTGGAGCAGCTTCAGGCCACAATAAACCGTGCGGAGCACTGTGAACAGGAGCTGACCTACTATTGTAAGAAGTCACGGCTTGTAAATAATCAAGGTAAGTAAACCACATCCTCTGTCCCTCTACACACATCGCCAGTGTACTTTCCTTAACCAGCTTCGAGGACTTTTAATTCTGCCGAGGTGGTGGCATTTAACCCAAGAGGTTGTATCTCCCTGTATATTCAGCAAATATGTCACAGACTGGTAGTCACAGAGGTGCTGTTGCCTGAAGAAAAGAACAAGGTCAATTTACACTGAGTTTTGTTCAAAGCCTTGATTGCCCTCGGAGTCCCTTCCTGACCTTAAGACTGTACAGAAAAGGGCTTCATTCTGAAACTCGGTGAATTCACACTGTTTACCTTATAAAGGGCAAGCGACACATGCAGTTTGTTTTACCGTGGAAAAGAGCTAATAAAAATGTGACTTAGTTTTTCTGAAAATGACTATTCTGCGTGACCCTTTTTCATGGATTGTTGACAATAAGCCTCTGGGTATAATTGAAAATTAAAATAGGCTGTTGGAAAGCCAGTTTATTTAGCAGCTCAAGTAGGAATCAGAAAACCATTTTAACTCTTTCTTGTATTTTACTTTTAATGACCAGTCTGCTCCTAAATTCTGTTTTTGCCTTTGTGTTTGCTCCTTTAGAACATCTCATTATGTGAGGACACCTCAGGTCCTACCAGTTCTGCCTTACTCTAGGTCTTGACCTTTTTAAGTTACTGCAGGAGATTTCAGCTGGCCTCCCAGCTTGCTCCTTTCCATGCCTTCTAACCATCCAGTGTGTAATCTAAAGCCCTAATCTTTATGAAAAATAACCTTTAAGAAACACTGCTGCCATGACAACAGTTTTCTATTTAAAAATCTTCAGTGCCACCCTGGCCGGTGAAGCTCAGTGGATTGAGTGTGGGCCTATGAAGCAAAAGGATGCTGGTTCGATTCCCAGTCAGGGCACAACACATGCCTGGGTTGTGAGCCAGGTTCCCAGTAGGGGGCGTGCAAGAGGCAACTGCACACTGGTGTTTCTCTCCTCCTCTTTCTCTTTCTCCTTCCCTTTCCCTCTCTCTGAAAATAAATAATCAAAATATTTTAAAAACCAAAGGCTTCAGTGCCTTCTTGTCTCGTGTCTGTCCACTACAGATGCTTCTGTCTGGACCAGAACTGCACATTCTGGACCCGCCAGCCTGTGCAGCCCTCATGCCGCTTCCCAACCCTGTTTTCCAGCAGAAATACTCTAGCAGGTGTATTATTCTGTAGACATTAGGGACAGTTTTAAGACATCAGCACAGCAAAGCCACTTGGTTGATGTTAACTGCTATTTGTTCTCGTAACAGAGGTTAGAGTTCTAGATAGAATATCCAGAATTTTAGAAGTGTGTTTCACGTGTGGTCATCATATGTCATATGGGTCATGCCGAAACACTCTGAACTCTGGATGTGACATTTGAATCTTTTGTTTCCAGTTAAGCACCGTTCCTATTTACTGTCCACCAACTTCATACAACCAGGTTTTCCCCCTGCCCTGTGCCTGACTTCCACCCCCTCCTCCTCCTTTTCCTCCCTCCTCTCCCTTAAGAAATGCTCTTCCGTCATCTTTTACTCCATCTTGCTGGTCTCTGCTGAAATCTCATGCCCCTGAAACCTCAGTCCCACCTGGGTCTCACCTTCAGGTAGTTGTGGTGCCAAGAGCATGGGAGAGAGCTAAGCTCAACCTTCAGGCCCCTCATTGATTAGGTGTAGAACTTGGATGGCAGAATCTTTCTAGTTTTTGCTTTTTCTTCTCTGAAATGTGCCCAGCAGTACCAGCCTCACAGGGGCGTGGCGATAATCAGGTTCATAACACACGTACCAAGTGCGCGAAGTGAGCTCCTCCTGTCCCCAGCTCTCCAGAACATTGTAGTTATGGTAATATACCAGTTTAATGTGCAACTGATTGTTTCTCAGTGGTAAATACCGATCTTGGAATCTAAAATATAGATAAGCAAATTTGGAAGTATATTCTAAGAGAACATCTGCAGAAGGGTAGATGGATGCTGTGGAACAGAATGAATTAAGTAGCTTAAGTACAGGAAAGATAATTATTAAAATCCCAAAAGAGTCAAACTCTATAAGAACCAGAACACAAAATCCCCAGGGGTTAGTGAGCCAGCAGCACCCAGAGTGGAGGGGATGACACAGAGTTGCAGGAACACCCACCTCGTGGCCAGTGTTTCAGCCGGGCCCGATAGTCCAGGAAAGAAAGCAGTGACCGTTAGAACATTGGAATGGGGGAGGGTGGTGCTTGTTACATGCACAGCTTTTCTCAGGTCCATGAGCCTCGAATTCATGTTGAATTGATTCAAGGTGGAAAAACTAAAACGAGAGAAGGTAATTTGGAATTTGAGGTCAAACTAAGAAACATGTGGGGAGAACAAGAAGAGGATGGCAAATGAGTTAAAGGCACAAATTCCGGTCTCGAGGCTATGGCTGAGTTCAGTGATAAGAGTGCCACGTCTGTGGGTGAACGAGGCAGGCTGGCTATGGAAGCGTGTTTCAGCTGTGGCTCTGCTGACGCAGCGCGTCAGAAGGCCGACCAGTGTGAACACAGAAGTCACCGGGGTTTTATCTCTGCACAGTGGAATGTTCTCCCATGATGATGGTATTTTATAGTTTTAATTTTTAACTTTTAAAATTTCACGATTATCTTAAATCCTTTTATGCTTAAATTCTTTAGGACATTTTTAAAAAGCCTCGGATGGAACCAAAGGTATTTGGTACCATTAAAACATCAGTGCTTTCTACTTTATAGGGCAGATGGGACACTTAGAGGTAAAAATATTATTTCCTCTTTAGCAATGATGATTTGTTTTCTCTTTATGGACACATGTTTTGAGCAGTATATTGAAATGTATCTGGCAAATGTTTCAAATAGGTTTCACCTTCTGTTGATGAATTAACTATGCAGTTTTAAAAATGAAGATTCTTGATATCAGTATCTTCATGCATAACACAAGCCTTGTATTTTATGGCATGACTGGTCTCATGCGTCTAGTAATGCTGGGAGAGAAGTTGCCATGTAACCGTGTAACAGTGAGTTACAGTGAACACTGGTGTTCATAAGTAAGGGAGAAATTAGTAAAAGTCCCAGATTTTCAGTGGGGCTGATAACTTCAAAGATTTGAAAGTCAACAGGAAAATGATGAAGTACCTCTGAACAGCTGACTGATCTGATCTCATGTTCTCATGCCCTGATTCTTCAGTGACTGCAGTCTCTCTCTCTCTTCAAGTGAGAGGTTGTCTGCATGCCTTACCTTTTTTCCTCAAACTCCTACCTAACTGTTCTGGCTATTCTTTGCTGCAGTTCCTTGACCTCATGTTTAGTTTGAACTTTGAGAAGTGAGCTGGTAGTTGAACATTCATCATAGAAAGTGATGTGTTTGGTTAAGGGAAACTTTGTTTTTGAATGTGGTGTTTGCTTCAGGCATTAAGATCTTTCAGCATTATTCTGTAGTCTCCAAATAAATAGCCAAGCCATTAAATAAAGGGAAAAAATCCCTACTTCCAAATAAATCTTAAATCATGACAAAGAAGTGCCATGCCATGTCTAATGTTTAATAGACAGCTACTGTATTTTAGTCAATACATGCATTGAGATAAGCCATTGATTTTACATAACATTCTATAATGTTTTTTATTTAATTATTTTTCAAGTACAGTTTCCTGTCTTTTACTCCCATTTTAGAATCTCAAATATTATGTATGTTAATTACTTTGGTTTATATTTTTATGCTAACTTGTTTCAAAAATCATTCTCAAAAGAAATTACATATGCGAACTGCTCTCAATACACTTTTACTACCATGCCTGAATTAAAGAGGAATTGCTGGTGTCTTTTTACCCAAGACACATATGTCAATCATTTAAGTTTATATAATCAAATATTTTTTAAAAAAGGTTTCTTCAGAAATGCCATCAATTACAATATCTTGCCTATTTAATCAGTCTTTCTCTTTTACCTTTTATTCTTTTTAATAATTTGGGAAGGAAGGGAATTATTCTGGGATGGAAGGCCACGGGGCACGGAGCAGATGCCACATTTCTGGTACTTGTCTTTCAGATGGAACCCCTCTGAGCTGGTGGGTCGGAAGAACCAATGAAACACAGACGTACTGGGGAGGTTCTTTGCCTGACCCTCAAAAATGTGCCTGTGGTCTGCAGGGGAACTGCGTGGATTCTCAGTATTACTGCAACTGCAATGCTGACCGGAACGAATGGTGACTTCCATATGATTTTCTTTTGCCAAACAAAGTTCATTTATTTAAATGGATCACTCAACATATTAGAGAGCTAGGTAGATACTGAACAAGTTAGCACAGTGAAGAAAATGAGATGAAAGTATGTTTCCTTGAAATGTGTTATAATCAGTCTATATCCCAAATGTCAAGATCAATGGCTTTTTATTTCATTTTTTTTTTTGTAATGGACTGTTCAGTCATGTACTTTTTTTATGTAATGGGATGAAAGAGGCATCTGCTTCATGTTTCCTCTTCATCGTAAGTCAATTATTGTTCTCTTTGAAAGGAAGTGTAATTAAGCATTCTATTATTCTCGAAATATATTTACAGCCAGTAATTGCTAAAGCACATTTTCTCAATAAGCTGCTTCTAAAACCTTTAAAAATGTAATCTTAGAATTTCCCACAATTATATGAACATGTAGCTTTTTTATGTCTTTAAAGGATAAACCATGCCCCAAAGAACTAATGTTCTGTTGTTTATCATATTTTGAAAGAGGAAATCTGGAACATTTTAGGGATTTAAAAATTGAGATTCAAGTATTCTCTAAATAGAACAAAACTCTTAAGTATGTATCTTCCTTTGAAAACTTAAAAATACATTTATTATAATTTTTACTAGAGTTAGGGTTGTACATTGATTTTATTTGCTAAGTAAACATATTTTTAAGTTTTCATTTTGCATTTCAATATGCCGTGTGCATGCTACATTACTATGCACCTGGTTCTGCACATAAGAATTATTTAAAAAAAAATTAATAGTCAATCGGGTTGTAAATATGATTGATTTGGTCATAGAATATACATGAACCCCAGTCATCAGTTCATTGTTAATGAAGCTCACATTTTGAATTTTGTGTTTCATTGATTTATTTGGCAAACATCAAGATTATGCTATACCAGAAGCCAGGTTCTTGTGGAACACATTAGAAGGAGGCGTCTGTGTGGCGTCATGGTTGTGCTTTTATTATTTCATTTTTGGGGAGTATTGTCTTTCATACTCAAACTCTAGTTTTTACAAATTTATACTCTTTTTTCTCACTACCTTCACAAAGAACATCTACACAGTAATACTGTATGTTAAGATGTGGATAAAATATTCATAGCAATGCTTAACAGAAGAAAAAACTAATCTAGTCACCAATAACTCTCTTAATACCTCCATAACATTATTATTAATGAAAAATAATTTTGAAACATAAGATTTTGAAACTTTTTATATTAACTTTCCCTTATGGTGATAAAACTTGCATAGAAATAAATAATGTTCCCTTGAGAACATTTATAACCCAGAAAAACTATAAAAGCAACTACTTGAAGTAAGTAGAGAACAACCAAATGTAGATAGAAACTGCTAAGGCTGGGAGCCTTTGCCCCTTGGACAGCAGAAACTCAGGTGGGTGAGGTATCTGTTTATATGCCTTTCCTTTGAGGGAACGAATCAGCCCACATGACATGGGGTGGCTAGAACTCACAGAGAAACTAGCTGGGGGCTGGGACCAGGGGAGTCAGAGCGCAGAGTCTGGGGCTGCCAGAATTACTGGGCACTCAGGGGAGAATGGAAACCCCAGGAAGGAGAAAACCTCCCCGGGGGAGTCTACCGTATGAACTCCCTCAGATCCAGGTCGGATCCTGTGCTGACCCCTGAACTGCACATGCACAGAGGTGATTTCTCAGAACCAAGCAGAGAGAAACAGCTGGAAAAACTGAACAAGCAGAAATTTCAGTAGCTTCCAGCAGAGGAGACACGGCATCTCTGGAGTTTGTCACCCTAACTGAGATGAGTGTGCTTTGGGAGTCCCTTGGGTTTCCTGTAACAGAAGGTCTGTGTCTTTACAGCGAAGGCTGAGATTAAAAACTAGGTAAAACTGACATAGGCCCACCCTAATGAAGTTTTAAATCCAGTGTCCACAATTTGTTGCGATAAGTTTGCGATTTAACAAACAGTAACAGAATCCAGAGTCTCCACAGCATCATCTGTAATGTCCAGAACAAGGTAACCATTACTGTATATTAAAAAAGGATAAAATTTGATTAAAAGTTTAGAAAATAAAAGGAGTTATTAGAAACAGACCCTGGGATATGATTGATTAGCAGGCAAAAACTTCAAAAGCAGTGATTATAAACATGCCCAGAATCTAAATAAAAATAATTACAAGTGAACAGAGGGTAAGCTCAGCAGCTATATGCAGACTATATCAAAGGAGCCAATATAAATTTTAGAACAGGGAAGTACATCTGAAGTGGAAAATTCACTGGATGGACTTCAACTCAGGAGATCGCAGAAGAAATCTTTAATGAACCTGAAGACAGATCAATAGAAGTTATTAAACCTGAAGAACAACAACAAAAAGGTTGAAAAAAATTAACAAAATCCTTGTGATGTTTGGGAAAATGTCAGTGATTTAATGGGCAAGAAATTGGAGTCCCAGAAAAGTAGGAAATAAAAAGAGGCAAAAATATATTTGATGAAGCAATGCTGAAAATTTCTTCACTTTGTTCAGTAGACACCTTTGGTAGCATGCCTCCTCCATGGTGCTCCACATGGCCTTCTGTTCACTTCCTACAATTTCCTGTCCGTGAGGGTCTCCTGGACCTTGCGACTTGCTTCCAACGAATAGAATGTGGTGAGGGTGATGAGATATCACTTCCCAGATTAGATTACAAAAGACCGACTTCTGACTTTCGTACACCCCTTTCCTTGGCTCTCTGGCTTTCTTGTTCTAATAAAGCGAACCGTCATGCTGTGATCTGTCCTGGGGACAGGCCCATGTGGCGGAGAATCAAGAGTGGCCTTCAGCCAATGCCAGTGAATAGCAGTCCAACAATGACAAAGAGTACTGGCAACAAGCGCTTGAGCGGGCTTGGCAGCGGATCCCTGCCCAGGCAGTCCCTGAGATGACTGCAGTCCTCACCCAAACTTTGATCATAGCCCTGGGAGCGACCCTGAGCCAAAGGGTCCCTTTCAGCCATGCCCAGAGTCCCGACTAGGGTGCACCAATAGACCACGAATGGTGCTGTTTTTTAAGTCACCAAGTTTTTTGGGTAATTTGTTACGTTGTCATAGATAACTCATATGACCTCAATATACAGATTCCAGAAACTCAGAGGAGATCAAGCAAAATAAAAACAGAGAAGCTTATACCTTGGACTACTGTTCAAATTGCTAAAAAAAAACGAATGATAAAGATACATGTTTCGGAAGTAGCCGGGTTGGGTGGATCTGGTGGAGCAAGTACCTTCCATATGGGGGATGAGGATGCTGGTGAAGGCTGACCCTTCATCAGAAGTCCGTGGAATGACCGTTAGTGGGCTGACAGAAGAAGCAGAGTCAACCTAGAATTCTATTTTAAGCAAAATGTATTTCAGAATGAAGGTAAAACGAGGTTCTTTTCCTATTAAATGAGCGCCGAGAACATTTGTTGCCAACAGGGCTGCACCCTGAGAAATGCTGGCATGTGCCCTTCAGGCCGAGGAGATGCCACCAGATGAGAACCCAGAAACACCGGGGGGAATAAAGCAACTGCAGGTTATGAATATGTCAGTGAACGTAACTTTTTCTCTTAATAAAAAACAATTTATAATTCACTATTGAATTATAAAGTTTGCAACATCTGGATTTAACTACATTACAACAGTAGCATAAAAAACAGGCGTCTCTGGCGGGGCGTGTGAAAGAAATTATCTTGTATTAAGCTTCTGACATTTTATATTAAGTAATACAATGTAAAATTTAAGTGGATTAATAAATGAAGAATGCATTTTCTAATCACTGAGGCCAGTATTAAAATACAATAACAAGACATACAGCTAAAATGTGAATAAAGACAATAAAATTAAATACAAGAATACAGTGTAAACCAAGAGGAGACAAGAAAGGGGAGCAGAAATACAAAAAATCATATAGGAAAAATAAGAAAGAAATATCAAAATTGTAGATTTAAAAACACAATATGAATCATTATACTAAATGTTAATGGGTTAACACTTCCATTTTAAGGTAGAAAAAGGCTGAATGAGTTTGAAAATCAACTTTATTCTGTCTTCAGGGGAAATTTAAATGTTGCCATATTTTTATGAGCTCAGATAAGCAATTTGACCCTTAATCTTGTGGTGCAAATTTAGCTCAGAACATCTTGCCTTTGAAATGCAGTAAGGCCTATTGTTTATTTGATAATTATGTTAATCAGAGTAATTTTAAGGATTTTGTTGTTCCTGTGTTTTAGGACCAATGACACTGGATTCCTTTCTTATAAAGAACATCTGCCAGTGACTAAGATAGTGATCACGGACACAGGCCGGCCGCACTCGGAAGCAGCGTACAGACTGGGGCCTCTGCTCTGCTGGGGGGACAGTAAGTGGTGGCGACGTGCTGTCAGCATTGCTGAGGAAAGTGATGTCGCTTGACAATCATGTTTCTATCATAAAATAATTCATCTGACCTTCATTGTGAAAACTCATATGTCTGAAAGAGTCTGTCAGTCAACAAATAAAATACCTTAGTGACGTGGAAAGCCCTGTAATAAATGTTGGAGCAGCAAACCTTCTTAAGACCCAAGAGAAAGAAGCCACTAAGCATAATGGTTGATTCATGAATATCTCCCAGCATTCCTGAATTTCCACACGCTGTAACCCCCACAGGAAAGCCTCCATGCTGATTTATAAAATACTGAGCAACGTATGTTGTTGGGAGTTGGGGTGGGATTAGAAATAGAACCAAATGTCAGCATAGTCAAACACATTTCAACTTTCAATCTCCTTTTTTTCAGAGTGTGTGTTTGCTCTAACTCAGTGGGACATGCTACTGTGTATATTCAATGTATTAACACTTTAAACTAGACTTTTAAAGTTCAAATATAGTTGCACAGAAAAATCTATATTTTCAGCAGGCAATGGAATAAGCATATGTATTCATTCATAAGCTCTCTGAAATCAGTTAGGTGTATAAAGACAGATGCATTAATTATTTAAGCTTTTGGTTTTTCTAACACTTAAATGGAAATAGAAGAAACATATACTTTAAAGCATACACTGAAATAAAATTTTATTCTAGAGACTCAACAGAGGAGAGATGCTCTGACGATTCAATGAATTTATGGGGATACACAGCCAAAGTTGCTTAGTTGAAAAGCAAAGATGATACCAAGCTATTGAAATTTATACATACATTGTAAAAAAAAACCCCATCTGCCATTATACCTATCTTCCCTACTCTTTATCATCTCAACTTCCTGTTCAGCTGGTAGGCCTTACACAATCACAGGAAGATGCCATAGAATATTTCATGGAGAGGAAAATTATGTGTGAAGAGATGAACCTGTAAACTCAGATGCATCCTGAACAGCGCAACAACTTTGTGTGACTATAGAGAAATAGTTTCATATATCACATGCATTTCCATCACTGGCTCAGATCTCAACCTTCAGGAGCCCCGACCGGTTTCCTCTGGCCCTTTCACTTTCATTTGCCACAACCCCTGGGGAACTGGTCTACTTTGAATGAGGTCAGTCTCTTAGAGGTTCTTTCTGGAAAACTCCCTGCCATGAGCTTAAGCACACAGCTCCTTTTCCTTTAGAGCAGTGATTTTCCACCCAAGGTGATTAACCCCCCCTCAGTGGACACTGGTGGTATCTGAGACACTTTGGGCTGTCGTTGTTGCAGGGGGTTGGGTGCTGTGGCATCTAAAGGCAGAGGACAGAGATGCTGCTCAATATCCTGAAGTGCATAGGGCAGCCTTCCGCAGCAAGGAATTGTCTTTGGTCCAAATCGTCAACAGTGCCGAGGCTGGGAAACTAGCGTTTAAGTGTTTGTGACTCTGGAGATACGGAGGGAGGGCAACAACATTAGGAATAAGAATTTGAAAATAGTCACAGTATTTAGCGACCTGCTAGTTAATCTATGACATTAATAAAATGGTCATTGAGAGCTTTCCTTGGCCTTCTTGTCTCCTACATCTATTTTAGGGTTGAGGCTCACCCTCACATGCGGTCATAAGGCTGTTTCTTTATAAAGGGGTTTCTTTAATTCTCTCAGTAAGAAGGGCAATGGCTGCAGAAAAACAGACACCCCTTTACTCTTTATGGGAAATATACCCCCGAGGGTGACACATTCTTTTTTCTTTCCAAGGAGGCAGGGTGTAGATATACGGGGCTGCTAGAATTGGGATCCTGCACTGTGGGCCTTGTAAGTGCAAAAAAGGTGTGTGGACACTATCCACAAGGCATTAGGACTGGAACATTGAATCACTTAAGGCTGAGACATAGCTTAATTTTCATGGTCCAAATGAAAGCATGAAGACCACTTATAAACCTAAAGACCAACAAAATAACCTTTAAAAAAATCCCTACCCGAGAACATTCTTACTGATTTTAGAGAAGGGGAAGGAGAGAGAAAGAGCGGGAGAGAAGCATCAGTGTGAGAGAGAGACATTGGTCTGTCGTCCCCAGTAGGCTCCCCTACTGGGGACAGAAGCCACAACCTAGGCGTGTGCCCTGACTGGGAATCGAATCTGCAGCCTGTCGGTTTATGAGATGATGCCCAACCAACCGTGCCACACTGTCCAGAGCAAAATAACCTTTGATGTAAGACAAGGAAATATGGTGAGCACTTGACCAAACAGTGGTTGGCATGGGGCTCAGAAACGGGCTCAATGAGAGGGGTGCGTTCACTGTGTTTTAGATGGAAATTGAGGCTGAAAGGGCACGAGGGTAGTCTCCAGCTTTCTGATTTCAGGAAAGCTGTTAGTACCATTCACTGAAACAAGGAATTTTTAGATTTGAACAGAAAAATGGAAAGATGAGAATAAAAAAATAATATTTTGATTTTATCACACAAATCAGAGATGTTAAAATTCTGTATCAAGCCTGTTTTTCTAGGAAGGAAGACAGAAGCTTTGTGAGAGCAGGCCAAATAAACGAAAATGAGTATGAGACTTACTGGTACCAGACACGAGCTTACCCCTAACTGATTGACATTGTCATTTTCCAAGTCCTTCTTTGCATTTTTTAAAAAATGTAGATGGTTCTGAAGTCCCATATTACTGCTGCTGTTGTTGGAGATCAGAGTCATCATTCACATCATTCTGCATTTCACCTCAAGTACAGCAGATGTGAATGGTAAAGCTGCCTTTAACGTTGTGCTACGGACATAGCACTTAGTACATACTGAGCTTAATGAATTAATTTGTTTAGAATATGGAAATAAATTACAAATAATTTAATGTTCAAATGTGTAGGTTATAACTAGGAAGGCTCCTGTACTTTCCTTTCCACCCACTCGCCCAGGCGCGACAGGGCCGTCTCCATTGTGGAGGTTCCCAGCAGTGCCCTGCTTTGAGCAGGTATCAGAACCCCCTGGGGAGTGTGCCATCTGCAGTGGGCACAGCTTCAGCACTTTCCCTCCAGTGATAAGGAGAAAGGGCTAGATGGTTTTGAATGTCCATCAGGAAGGCATCTGCAGGGATTGTCCCATACCTCTGCAGGTCCCACGGCCCGAAGCAAACTCGCGGATTGCTGAGAGTGCTGGGCTTCATTTCCTCTTCACTCGCTTCCTTCATCTGCACAACCTCCCCAGTCCCCCAGCTGGGGGACCAGCTGAAAGCTGTCACCCGGATTCCGACCCTTCCTCCATGAGACCCTCCAGTGGCCTCTATAATACTTAGCCCTACACTTTCAGAGGATGTCGACCACATTACAAAGGCATATTTCTCATACTGGCTTTTCATTATTTTCGAGCCTCTCAAGAGCAAGTCCATTGTTCATTTATTATTGTGTTCCTGGTACCTAGTACATTACCTGTTACATGAAGGATAATCAATAAATAGCAGTTTATTAAAGAAGGAGAATGATCTATCATATACAGCTCAAGAACTCTATAGTTTGTGAATTGTTTGTGCGAGACAGGAAGAAGTTTTTGATTGTATAAGCAATTAAATGATATGCAAACATATACTTTCAATGAAAGGAGTTGGTTCTACTGAAAGCCTTACTCTGATGAAAACATCACACAGCACAAAGACCACCTAGTTCCCGCCACGCCATTTCTCGTCAGTGTGGGCTCACGGGAGTGAAAGAGCTTTCAAATAAGCACACGGTCTCAGTTAATACTCACACTTTTGCTTTTCACTTTTTAAGTAGCATAGTGCCTTTATAAATCTGAGATACTTTTTTTCTTGGAGAAAATATATTTTGGGGCCTATTTTGCTTTTTTTAGTTTTCTGTGCTTTAGAAAAGACTTGTGGTAGTAATAATTTATATTTAAGAAATTTCACAAATGTGAAGGAATAAAAGTCCTAACATTTTCAAAAAATGTCCCTTATTTTGAGGCTCCTAATAATTTTTGGGACCACAATAATATTCTTTCTTGACAATTCCAGACACATATGGTTTACTCAGTGTTTTACTATTAAACATTAATGATTTAATTGACCTATAATCACTACAAAATTTTAAGATATACAGAATCTGAAAGAAAAGAGCATCATAACCACCGAGAATCCCACAACCGAGAAGTGCTGGTTCACACAGAGGGTTACTGCAGACGTTGCCAGATACCTCTAGCGCAGGGTCTCCCAACCTTGACCCTGGGCTGGATAATTCCCTGGTAGGCCTGGGTCTGTCCTGTACATCCTAGGGCATTTAGCAATGTTGGGGCCTCTCCCCACGTGGGCGGTAGCACCGCGCTGCCCATTGTGACAACCAGCATGTCTTCTGCAATTTCTAAATGACTCCCGGGGTGCAGGACTGCTCCAGGTGGAAAACCACTGCCTGACAGGGAAAGTGAGATTTAGGAATAAACTTGTAAAACTTTATTAATTGAAATTGACAAAGAAAGAAGAAACCTAAATGAAGCCAAAAGCATTGCTTTATTTTATTTATATATCTGATAAATTATGTATTTGACTTGAATGATCCCTCAAACCTTTACAAAATTATGAAATTTTTAAAAGGTTATAGGGTCAGTAGGTTTGATAGTAAACTCATTTTTTAATTTTAGACAGTACTGCTCTATTCTGAAAAGTGGGAAAATTAGCACTCATTTGTCCTCTCCTCCTGGTTTTGTTCCCCGCGTTCCAATTATTGCTAGTTTTGCTATTATTTGTATAGTTATTTTTTTTAGTGCTAACTAGTCCTATTACCAGAGTCTCTCTATTCTTAAATGATTGTTATTTTGATTTATTTCTTCTCGGATTGCACTGTCTGAGAGTTGAGATTTTGGACATCTGTATAGAAGTGTGTTTGTGGGCATGTGTCTTTGCTGCTCTTGCACATACACCCGGGAGTGGATTTCCTAGGTTAGGAGGAGACGCACTTTAGTCTTTTCAGAAACTGGTGTAACAGTTCTGGGCTGCGATTC